TAGCCTGGCTGTGTGTAGGTGCCAGCGGATCAACATCCCAAATATGGTCATGTCAAACCACCCATCAGATATCATCAGATATCATGTCAAATATGGTCATGTCTTCACAAACTGATTGGTTCCAACTTACCCTCTCGTAAACTAACGTAACTATGGAAAATCACCATTTTTAATGGGTAAATCCACTATAAATTACCATTTTCAGTAGCTATGTTAGTTTACCAGAGGGTAAACATGGTAAACTGATGACTTCCCCCTAACTTCTAGCAGTACTACGGTGGCATGTCCGAGAAGGTTCTGTCTGTCTACCTCATAGTCGATGATCCCTGGTGGTCATCTGGGCACCATGTGGCACATCAAGTCATCAATGTGGACAATCATATACACTATGTATGTATATATATTATATATAGTCCTACACGTACTCCTGTGTACATAAATCAATAGTATATATGAATATGTAATATAGTATGATAATATGATGCATATTAATTATATATACATATATATATATATATATATATATACGTCATATGTATATGTGGATACACTCCAGACTTACAGTGATGGGCAAACAAATCGAGCAACCGCCTGGCTTCACTCATCCGCCTCAGAGGCCTCCTCAAAATGACAGCTGGTAGCGACAAGACTACAACAAAAACACCATCAGTTGGATGAATTTATGGTGGTTATATGGTGGTTATATGGTGGTTATATGGTGGTTATACGGTGGTTATACGGTGGTTATAAGCTCTGAATCAATTTCAGATGAATTTATTTGTGTCAAACTGATTGTTGTTTTGAATCATTAAGCCACACTAACGCTATAAGAATCAATTTATATAGTGTGGTTATAAATGTGTGATTTTAGGACATGTATGGTCAAGAGCAAAGTAAAGTGATCAATTTAAACCATAGAAGCGTTAAACACAAGTTAAACACATTTGAATTTAACACATCTAAAGCTCCGATAAAAAAATGTTTGATACACATGAACTCTGATCCATAGCCATGTTCTTGGGGCCCATGGATCAAGTTCTCGAGTTCATCTCCACCTTGGGTCATCTCAAAGATATGCACCATGACCCAAACAAATCTCTCAGCTACAAGGTTAGAATTATGGCTTCAGTTTATCAAATAACAATGAAAACAAATGGAACATAATTGATAAATATTGATAATATATTAGATAATATATATATATATATAATTATAAATGATTGTAATATACTTTACTATACTATACTATACTATACTACACTATACTATACTATACTAATCTTTCATGTTTCATTTGCCTGTATTGTCCTCTTTGTTCAACCCACCAGCACATCACCCATCTATCCGTCCTCCTGGGAAAGAACAAAGGCGGCTTTGCGCGCCTCCCTGGGTGAACGCAGGAGGTGAACCAATGGTGAACCATATTGAAACATCTATAGAATCTATATCTGAATCGTTTTGAAACATCAAAACAACTGACTTTTTTTTTTCGAACATCTTGGCTGAACAAGAACAGAACAAGGGACGATGGACTGCTCTTTCATGTCTACCAAGGAATAAGCCTCACATCCAGTGCGAGAAACCAGTCGACCGCGTTAAGGGAGCGGTGTTGTTTTTAATGACACGAACAAGCTATCCAAGTAGTGTTCTTGAAACATGTTGAAACATTTATACTGTATATACATATATAATATAGTATCTATAGATTGATTTAGTTGCTTGATTTAGCATAGTGTACTAATTATACAGAAAAGAATTGATTATATATGAATTATATGGAGATGGATTGAAACTTAAAGACTTAACACCAGATAAACCACGGTTGGACTAGTCATGTTTTATATTGTTTTATGCTACAACGACCATTCCGAATCATGTTGGGGTACCTGAGATGACGTGTTCATGAGCCAACAATTTCTCGAAAAAATGTTGGATTGAGTCTATCACACAGGGCTTGGTAAATGTCCTGGACATTGGGGATTTTGAACATCTCAAGATATCTCAAGTATTTGTTGGTGATATTTGGTGATGAAAAAAACCCAGCAGTTGGGTGTTCAAGTAGGACAATTACCAACCCCTGTCACAGTCCGGTTGTGTTTCCCCGACTTTCCGGATCCCAGGCAGATCAGACCCAACCCCTGGTGACCTGTCTCCGGATGTTTATCGGAACCAAGCTTTCGGCAACCAAACCAAGTAGCAGATACAGAAACATACACTTTCAGGACCTTTCAAGAACAAAGTTTTGCAGAAACCAGGCGAATTCAGATGGTTCCTCATATTCATTTTTCTGCCGACGAAATCTTAGTTGTGAAGGTTTGTTGCCACCACTATCAATTCAGCCCTCTTTAGCGTGTTCTCTTCCATTGTTGGCGCGCGGATGCTTACCGACCTTGATTAAACCACGTTTTCCATCCCCGTCCATCCCCACACAAATCTCTCTCCACTGAAACACTGACAAACTCGAACATTGTATTTCAAAAAAATGCAATCCAAGACGATATAATTATTGAACACATATGAACAAATGTCATTTCGGAAGAATCACCAATCTTTCGTTTTCGTGGTTATCCTTCATTTTCTGTTGGCAAGGGTTCTTGTAATCTTAACGGTTCCGGCCTTGTTGTTTTAAAATCCGGTCCTGATTTCAACGGTTCCGGCCTGATGTTAAACGGTTCGATGACGGTTCCGCTCCCCCAATGTTTGAATCATTTTGACACAAATCATAGAGATATCTTTGTTCCCGTCGTGAAGACCAATTCAAGGATCTCGGCCACTACAACAACAAACCCTTGAGTCCCACAGGTAGGTAGTTCCACATTGGCTCAGAAACATGCGGTCTTTTATCTATCATATCAAATGTGTATCTGCGCGGTAAGAACACCTATTGGCTGTAACAATCGCAGAGCATCACTAGGTGTTTCCATGGTTGAATCCCAACAAACTAATGGCTCCTTTGAGACATGTTTTCCTAAAGGTTTGATTCGAGGATCGGAAACATATCACCAGATGGTTGGATGTTTCTGACCCGTCATTCCTTCAAAATGGGTTCAAACTCAGAATGCATCCATTTTGACACCTGATTCCAGGACCAAAGTTTGGTTCCCTAAGAGGCTGGTAACTGGGGCGGTTTCCTGTCCCTCAAGGACATGGGTGGCTCGGGAGAGGTAACAAGTCCCAGATTTCCAGTTTTCTGGAGTGTTATAGTTAGAGTATATTATATACTATATTGTTGATAGTCCCACTTGGCAGTGTCTGCAAAGAGGGTACCACCCAAAACAAATGTCATCAAAAAAATGTCATCAAAAAAATGTCATCATAATACCCTCATAAAAATAACCACAAATGATACATCTCTCATTTTTCCTAAGTTTTGATTGTCAAATCCCATGTTTATCATTCATTGGTTTGAAACGCTTCAAAACCACCATTGTTCATCATTTGTGATGGTTATATCAGTTATATCATGTTAAGTTTTATTCCTATATATTTCACAATTTTCCTGGGATGACTCGAGGTCTGCCAAAAAACACAGCCAAAAACTCGAGCATTCCTGTGACGCACAACTGCCCGACTGCCGGATGACTTGAGCTTTGCTTGCTTCTCCTCAGAGGCCTGCCAAGGAGGACCGGAGCTGTTGTAATTTCGCTGTTCATTTCTGATTAATGTTGATTAATGTGGGTAAAACAATGCCATAAACCACCCATACCAGGGAATGGTAACCATACCACCTATAAAAATGGTGATGACTGGGGGATGGTTTATGACATTGTTTAACCCACATTAGTGCTTCAGCTGGTGTACAAACGAACGGTTTTTTTGTTAAGTTGAGCTAATGCAGCTAATGTAAACAAATGGTGGCTTGTCTAGAAACAACTAATGACGCACCACCGTTTGGATTGGTGTGATAAACCCGTTGACTATTTGAATGTGTTACTGTAAGTGGAACCCAGTGAAAAAGTGTTGTCGCTTTTGTTCGACAGAACAAAAAAAACAATCAACAACTTTCTGTCAATGGCCAACTTGGGTTTTCTTCATTCAAAGTGCGGAAAATCATTGAAACGCAAAACATGAACGACATGGGCTTTTGTCATAGTGATGTGACCAAAGTTGGTGCGAAACCTGCGAAGCCATCTTCAAAGTATGTGCGCAACATGGATATTATTCCACTGATTCCACAACCAAATGCTGAAAACATCCAGCCCTCAAGGATCGTTTTCGGCCTAATATATATATATATATCATATTATATTATATATTATATATATAGAATATTATACATATATACATATATATATAATATTAAATATATATATATATATAATATAATATATATATATATATTCTAAATACATAATTAGATCCCGTACACTGTTGATGTGGTTTGATTTCAAGTTGTCATCTTGTTCTCTCTTCTTCTTAACAGAACATCTATAGATTTTAGTCAGATGCAATTCCGATGAGAGATACCAATGATCAGCAAACATACTGCAAAATAAATCTATATATATATAATGATCTCGAGTTCAGGCCCTACCCTCTGTTAATTTAACGTAGCTATTGAAAATGGCTATTTATAGTGGATTTACCCATTAAAAATGGTGATTTTCCATAGTTATGTAAACGTTTACCAGAGGGTAAATTCTCTAAACATCTCTAAAAACATTGGATAGCCGGATAGCTATTTCGGACCGTCACCTTCTGCCGGTTCTCCCGGAGCATGTGCGCGTACTCAGGCATCTCTTGCCAACCCAAAGGCCTCGAGCTCTGGACCGGAACTTCCATGGGCTATCCAAGCCCCTGAAGTATGCCTGTCAACTGTGATCATCATCCCAAATATATGTGTGAAAGAACAAATTAGCAAACACACATTATAAATTGGTTCGGTAAGGTCGTCGGAACTTCATTGAGATCATGATTGAACGACTGTTGACCCTACAAGGCTCCAAGGCAAGCTGTCTCAAGATTCCCCACAGACTTTTTGTTTCCCTTCCGCAACTCTTTCAGCACGTCACAGATTTCGATTTCGCAGGTGCAATGGAGGGTTGCTTGAGACTTCGAAAGGTAAAGCTCCATCTTCTTTGGGAGCCCTCCGGAACCGAATGCTGCCAGTCATATCTGGCAGCACCACTGAAGCAATAGGACCTCGGGTGATGAGATATATGGGATGTGATGGATTCAGTTTCTCCCTTCAAAGTCGGTGTCCGCAACCTTAACGTTCGCCCAGACTCATCAATGTGACATAAGAAACAATTCTGTGTTGCTGGGAAGTTGCGAATCCAAGCAAGGCCAAGGGGGATTTTTTTTGGCCACGGCGGCATGTGAAAGATACCTTGAATACGTTATCTTCATGAGGAAACAATATCACCTGATCATCATCAGGGAACAAAATCCGCCACCCCCTATGACCAATATGCCAATATCGGGCTAATAACATCAACTTTATCTTCAAAGTCGGGATCAAAATTAGCCACCCCCTCTGCCTCTGAACATGAATCCATTTCCCCATCCCTATAGATGGCATAGATCCATTCCCCGGTTCCCCGTTTGGCTTTGTAGGGTGAAAACAAACCCGGTGAAGGGAAAACAATAGGTCGATCGTCCCAAATAAAACGAGTTTAACGCTGGAAGCTCATGTGATCAGGATTCAAGACACAGGCTTGACTACAGCGGCAATCTTCGCGTTCACACTTTCCATGAAATTGCTACTCAAGATTCAATTTCTGGGTGGTCAATAATTTCATGTGTTTCTGTGTTTTTTCCTGCTCAAAATTCTCAGTTGTTAAATATCGCTTTGGATCTTCATGTTTAGTTAAGACATGTTTTTTTTTCAGTTCGTGTTGATTGTGGTCAAAAAAGCGGTCAGCTCGTATCCCCTTTTTCCGACAGCACCATTAGAAAGATTCCCTACGTAGATTTTGCGCCAGTGACTGAGGCACCTAAACCTGGACCAAGCCATATAATGAACACAAGTGTCGAGACCACAAAGGGTGGCTGCCAATTGTTATTTGATGTTATATATATATGTTATATATATATATATATGTTTTATATATATATATATATATGTATATTGAACATATATATATATATGTGATTACCTAATTGTGAACCAAAAGTAAAATCTTAAGATTGTCAGTACTTTGGTTATTGACCAATTTAGGTTCAAACGGCTGAAAATCCATTGCCAAAATTTGCTGGCAAAGCAAATTCTCAGCTATCATCATTGTTGGTGCAATTGTCTTGTTACTGCTGCCTAAATCACCACTTTCTCTTAAGATTTCCGCCTTAACTCACGATATACATATATATATATATATACACATCCCATTGTATCCCCGTTTATCCTATATGTAGTTCTTCAGTCGTGATTCCCTATGTTGGAACCGGGCCCCCTATGTTGTTATCCCGGTTTCTGTTGACAAAATCCATTGAACATTGCTTAAAATCATCTAAGATATCCCGTCTTGCAGATGCATCCCAGTTATTGAGTGGTTAATAATTAACCATAGTGCAACCCCTTGTTATCTATATAAATCTATAACATATATATATATATATCCATATATATATATATATATCTGGTTGGTGGTTTCAACCCCTCTGAAAAGTATTAGTCAGCTGGGATTATTATTCCAAATATATGGAAAAATAAAAAATGTTCCAAACCAACCATATATGGGGGTTGTCCAAAATACCTTTTCCCGGACAGCCCTCAATCGCTCAGCCAATCACGTAGCAACCGCGGTACCACAGTGAGCAATCGCGGAAGGGTTTGTTCTTCGTTGATCAGATCATATACATAAAATATAAGTTATGTATTCTATAATGAGGATCCATGCGTGAACGCATTCGATTTCAAATTTGGGAACAAAATAAGCTCGCGCGGTCCGGAAACGGTCCGAAAAACTCACAGTAGTACCAGCAGCAGTAGTACTAGTAGTACTAGTAGTACTAGTAGTACTAGTAGTACTAGTCGTAGTAGTAGTAGTAGTAGTAGTAGTAGTAGTAGTAGGAGGGGTAAGAGTAGGAGTAGGAGTAGGAGTAGGAATAGGAGAAGGAGTTCTAGTAGCAGGGCAAGGGAAGAAAGGGAGAGGGAGGGAAAGAGAGAAAGAGAGAGAGAGAGGGAGGGAGGGGGAAACAGATGGTTGCGTTTGACCGGTTTCTGACGGTTTCTGGGTTTCTGACTGGTTTCTGACTGGTTTCTGACTCGTTTCTGACCCTTCAGCGGAACTCGTGTCAATTGGATTTAAAAGCAAGAGCAGAAATTCCTAGGTGTACTAGTGGTAGTGGTGGTGCAGTAGCAGCGGGTGTGGTGGTAGTACTAAGAGTAGTAGCAAATCTAGTAGTGGGAGTAAGGATCCATGCGTGAACGCATTCGATTTCAAATTTGGAAGCAAAATAAGCTTGCGCGGTCCGGAAACGGTCCGGAAAACTCACAGTAGTACCAGCAGGACTAGCAGTAGCAGTAGCACTAGCAGTAGTGGTAGTGGAAATTGCAATAGGAGTAGGCGTAGGAGTTCTGATGGGAGGGTGAGGGAATAGGCAAGGGAGAGAGAGAGAGAGATTGCGTTTGGCCGGTTTCTGACGGGTTTCTGACTGGTTTCTGACTCGTTTCTGACACTTCACACGAGTGCAATTGGATTTAAAAGCAAGAGCAGAAATTCCTAGGTGTACTAGTGGTAGTGGTGGTAGTGGTGGTGCAGGGTGGTGCAGTAGCAGCGGGTGTGGTGGTAGTGCTGGGGGTAGTAGCAAATCTAGTAATGAGAGTAAGGATCCATGCGTGAACGCATTCGATTTCAAATTTGGGAACAAAATAAGCTTGTGCGGTCCGGAAACGGTCCGGAAAACTCACAGTGCACTAGCAGTAGCAGTAGCACTAGCAGTAGTGGTAGTGGAAATTGGAATAGGAGTAGGCGTAGGAGTTCTGGTAGGAGGGTGAGGGAATAGGCAAGGGAGAGAGAGAGAGAGGTTGCGTTTGGAGTAGGAGTAGGAGTAGGAGTAGAAGTAGGAGTAGGAGTAGGAGTCGTAGTAGTAGTAGTAGTAGTAGCAGTAGTAGCAGTAGTAGTAGCAGTAGTAGTAGTAGCAGTAGTAGTAGTAGTAGTAGTATTAGTAGCAATGATAAGAGCTGAGGTGGATGGATGGATGGATGGATGGATGGATGGGATGCTAGGCAAGTGCTGCCTTTTTGGTGTTTCTGACCTGTTTCTGACCTGTTTCTGACCTGTTTTCAATTGGAGCTAGCTTGAATGTCCTTCTGACCTGAAAACATCTGCGCGGATTCCGCGCGCGCGGAATCCGCGCGGCCATGTCAATTATTGGCATGGTTCTGGTCTCGAGTAGTAGTAGTAGTAGTAGTAGTAGTAGTAGTAGTAGTAGTAGTAGTAGTAGTAGTAGTAGTAGTCGTACTCGTACGTAGTAGTAGTAGTAGTAGTAGTAGTAGTAGTCGTAGTAGTCGTAGTAGTCGTAGTAGTCGTCGTAGTAGTAGTAGTAGTAGTAGTACTAGCAGTACTAGTAGTAGTAGTAGTAGTAAGTAGTAGTAGTAGTAGTAGTAGTACTAGTAGTAGTAGTAGTAGTAGTAGTAGTAGTAATAGGGTGGTAGCCGTATAACCAATCGCCAACCAATCGCTCAGCCTATCGCGATGCAGGTTTTAGCAATCGCGCAAAGCAAAGTAAACGCATCAATTCATAAATTTGTGACCTGCTTTTACGGACGGCTCCCATATATATATACGGTAACTACATTTAAATATACGGACTTTTCAATATACGAGCAGGTATTTTAGGCTACCTCCGGGAAGGTTTTCCTTGGCCCGCCCAGCAATTTAAACATACGGAATACAATTCATTTAAACATATGGTTACTACATTTAAACATACGAACTGGTATTTCATACTACCTCCGGGGCCTCGCGGTCTGGCCCGCCCTCCACATATTTAAATGTTGTTACCGTATATTATATAGGTTATGCAGTAAATAAGGGTTATAAACCACCTGCGTGGGATACACATTCCAAGGTTTCGAGGCTACTACAGGTTTCAACTACTCATTCCAAGGTTACGAGCACCTATTCTGCTTTAAAATAAAGATCTAATTGTTCAAAGAACCCGTTGTCTCCAGCCTCTGAGTCTCACTGTTTGCTCAGCTTCAGAAATGGTGTGGTGGGAAATCCCTCATTTAGGTCGATGATTTTCTCAGATATAAACCTCCATGGCTAGTTCTGGGGATTTCCCAACCAGCCATATGTGATTTTCGTTGGATATATACATATGTATTTATATATATATATATTGTTGGATCTATCCTATCATATCCCCATCAAATCCCATTGAATCTACCATCTACAACATTTTCGGGGGCAAATCGGGACGGACTCCCACCTGTGTTTGGTGCTAGCGAGCCAGAGAAGATGTTGTTTTGTCATTGGGTCCAGGCAAACCTGGTTTTGAGATTTTGATGTTTCTGTTGCAGTTATTTGAGTTACTTTTAATTTGAGCATGAGTTGAGGTGCTGATTGCTTGCATCCGACCAGCAGTGCCGTTAAATCCAACTAATGTGGTTGAAACAAGAACAAACCAACCATATGTTAATGGTTTATACAACCTATTTATGGTGAAATTGGGGATGGTTTATTTCTGTTTGACCCACATTATACCATCAATGACTATCACCAACCAGAGGATTTATATGGATTTATATGGTTTCTTATTGTTTTTTTCCCCACTTAAAATCCCATAACAATAATAAACCAGATAAGAAACCCGATAAATCAATATATGTAAGTGGGAAAACATCCATAGCTATATATGGATTTCCCATAAACAGCGCAGGGTCACCGACCCACCCAGACCCTTCAACGGCAACGTCTGCCGCGATGCCAGAGGTGTCGCATCTCCACCGTGGCCGTCGCCTCTCGGCGCAGCAGCAAGGGCCGCGATTCGCCGAAGACGAAGACACGGACCTCAGGACCTGGGACGGTCTAAACAGGAGGTTTGACGAACAAAATTATACCGTGATTTATCATGGGACAATATTTATATATATATATATATATTATGGATATATGTATATGTGTATATATATATATATATGTCCATAAAGTAGATATCCAACAATTGTACACATTCGTGGATGTACATAAGATATAAGTGAAAACACATACTATAAACATGTATGATATATATATATATATATGTCCATAGATACCTTGAACAACATGAAACATTCAGCAGGGTCTAAATTTGAAAGTGAAAGGGTCTCATCACCAGGTCCAAAAATCCCTCGTAAGGGTATCCTCTACTGGTTGATATTGAATTGATACAACCAACATGGGCCTATGAATATTCTACCCTTGCGTGCGATCCCTAGCTGGGAAGTCTTTGTGCTAAATGGAGGTGTGCTGGAAATCATCACTGGTGGTTGAGCCTACCCCTCTGAAAAATGATGGAGTTCGTCAGTTGGGGTTATAAAACCCCAACTGAATGGAAAGTCATAAAAGCCATGTTTGAAACCACCAAGCAGATCATCTATACATCCAGGATTTTCCATTTGCCAAACCTGGTGACTGCAACTCCAACATGTGTGCGCCAGCGCCGCGAGGGGGTTATGTACGAGCTGCTACACCGGGATATGATGTGACCAAACAGCATCTGTGATAAAAAATCCCCACCGTTGATTCAACCAAGACCCATCCCCCTAAGATGAAACACACCCCAAATGGTCCCAAATATGTGTAAATCCCCTACAAAACCATGGTTTATGGGTGTGTTTAATATGAATGGAACATGGCTTATATACAAAGAAAAAAATGCAACTAGTTCAACCAAGCATGGGCTTCCAAACCTTACCCCAGTTGGAAACGTGGCCCATTGATAGATGATTCAGCAATTAAACATGCGGATTTTGACCCTAGCTATGTTAAATTACTAGAGAAAGTACTAGTAGTAGGAAAGAACACTAGAATTGAATGCAAGTGCTAGTTGGATGACAATTCAGAACTATTCAGATATGATTTTATCTATGATTTCTTTAATTAGACCATGGTGCACGCCCTCTGTCCATGGGACAGCAACAGTTCCATGAGAGCTACATGGTATGCAGAGTTTCCCATGAGATGAGATGTAATTTTACATTGTTTATGTTGGTTTATTAATGGCATATGTATACATAAATATAAATATGTTTTACATAAATATAAATATGTTTGTGTATATATATATATATTTATGTATACATATATGCTTAACACATAGGTAAGATATAGCAACATATAGCAACCTCTAAAAAATAGAACAACTATAAATTCTGCGTAAAAACAAGTGATAAATGGAAGCTTTGCTGAACTTCTCGGAGGTTGCAAGGTTCAATCACCACGTTAACCTCCGTTTAACTAAATATAACTAATGATAGATATGAACAATTTACCATTTGTAGATCATTTGCGGGAAAATCATGGATTTCCATGGCCTCATTTACTGTATAATGAGGGGCTAATTAGTGGTTGGCTGGTGTATAATTAGTGGTTTTCTGTATATTTGTGGTTTCGATATAATTTGTGGTAAATATCCATTTTGACATATTTTGAGTGGTTAACTCACCTAGAGCATATCCAATGTTTCAATTTGTTTTCCTCGTTAAACCACCATGTTTGTTGGGTTGATACTACTCTGGTAATTTCACGTTTTCCGCTATGGAAGCCATGGCCCATTTCGTTCGATCATAATTTCCTGTTGTTTCCATCGTTATTTTCCAACGCAAACTATCATAACTTTCACATATGTTCATGTTTCATAGTTAATTAAGTTAATTTATATATATATATAGTTTTGAACTATCATAGCTAATGTCTCATGTTAATCTATCCATACTATCGTTAATTTTGCATCGTTATTTTCTATCCATTGCCGTCAGGAGGCCGAAGACCAGGTCATCCACATGCCATGGAATGCCATCGCCCGGGCCATACCTGCGTGCCAAAGAGGGAATATAACAAATAAATATGTGTATATATAAAAATAATGATATACATACGTATATATATATATGATAATATATATATATATATGTTTTATGCTATTGCAAGACACTGTGTGAATCTATTTGGACTCATCCTTAACAATGGTGGACTTACTAACCTCAAAGGGATTGCTAAAAACCTGCACCACTTGGGTAACTTCCTTCGATTTGGACTGTGCCAACAGGTGGACAATGGCTAGTTTTTGAAGTGGAGTTGTTTTAGCAGAGTTATACCCGCCAGTAAATTAACATAGACCCTGCCAGATAGGGGTTGGAAGACTAGTTTCCACTAAAAATTGGTGATTTTCAGGGTCTATGTTAATTTACCAGGGGGTAAGCCCAGTCACTGAGGTCACGAAATGTGTTTGGCAATCTTTGACAGTCACGAAAGGATCCCGGTCAAGATTCCAGCAAATTCCAGCTCAAGAATCTTCAGGATGCAGCTGAGGTACTCATTGATGATGCATTGTGTGAATTCTGGACCAACCTGCGCAGCTCTTGAAATGCCCAAAGGGAGCGTACATACCAAGGGTAACCACTATATCATAATCGTCTTGGCTGCATACTTTTGTTTCCAGACTCTTGTTTGTTCTGTCGGTTTGACATTTGCTTGCTTTTGATTGTGTCAGTGTGTTGACACATGTACATGCCTCACATCAAATTTCCACCAAGGTTTGTTTATATTGCATACCGCATACCTCTAAAATAGACGATATTCAGCTACCATGTATACCCCGACTTCTATTTGGTGGGTTTTCCGAAAGCCGATCAAGATAGTGCCACAACCAGGGTCGGAAACGATGTTCGAGCCGCGTCGGAGGAGGTTGCTGCGGATCAGCTTTTTGGTGACTTCTATTTGATCGGTAAATTCTGACTCCCATGGGTCTGATATGGTCTGATCTTCTATTTGTCCGGTCGAGGTGTTATCCACAGCATCAAATCGAACATGTTCCGGATTCCCAGGGTTAGCCGGGTTAGGTCCTGGTCTGAGATGCCGTTTTGAAAAGACAGTGCTTTCAGATCATCAGTAGATATCAATTTGGAGTTGCAAAGGAGTCTGGTCAAAACCCAGGGTTGAAAAAAACCTGCCGGGAGGAAAGATTCGATTTTTGAGAGACACTTTCTACATACACTCTTGTTGGTTTTGTTTTATGAGTAAAACTATTTTTTCCACATACTAAGTTGGCAAACCCCATGTTTTGTCCCATCTAAACCAAACAACCAACCATCATCATTGATTGGTGGATACCCTCACTTTGTCAGGTCAAATTTTCCGACAGAGTGGTAGAACCAATCAACGAACGTAGCATTGAAAAAAACAACTACAGACATGCTCCAGCAGTGGTAGCATTCGGTATGGTTCATATACCAATCACATCCCCTAACTAAGATTGAATACCCCCAAGAACCCCTGGTTGAGTTTTTGATCTATTCATCTAACTATAAGAGGTGCCATTTAAGATGATCTTGGTATATCTTGGCTGTGTATCTTCATCTCATCATAATTAAACCATGTCAAACACCCATATGTGTGATGGTAAAAAAAAACACCGTTGTTATGTTTAACAATGTTTCATAATATGATCGGGTGATGGGATTACTCAAATTTACCCATATCATTTTAGATACTTCATCAATAATGATTAAGCATCACCATCATCATCATCACCATCATCATCATCATCATCATCATCATCATCACAAATGGCCGTTTGAGGGTGTACGTCATTTTCAGATACACCCATATAGAAGCCCAAGTTTTGATGGTGAAAAAACCCAATGGTTTGGATGGTTTTGATTCGGTTAAGTTCTCATGGTTGATAATTCTTGATGGCGAATTATTATAGTGACAGTATATGTCCATTGGCCATATATATATATATATGTATATGTACATATGTTATATATATATATATTATATTATCCCCATTTCAGGATGCCTTTGTTATGTAAGTTATAACACGTTATAACCCTGAACAAGTTGATGGATGTTGATGGCTAACCCCACAATCTCCGTTAAATCTCATCAACAAATCAATGACCTATCCATTTCAGGATGGTGAAACACCATATTAAATCCCCTATTTCTTACGAACTTCTCATGCTTTTTGATACATCATGATACATCCATATTCATCATGTTCAACCCCAAGTTGCCCAAGTTTTGATGGTTTCACCAAATGAAATCCCCAGAAAACGACATTTTGCTGGGCCGTTCCCAATCATCTGCTCCTCAGGAAAGAAGTCGCGCAGGAAGTCGGGGATCGCTGCCACCGGCGTCAGGTCCACGCACTGCAGGTGCAACTTCCAGGTGAACATGGGATTTAAGATGTTATGTAATCCCCATGGTTAAATCCCCATTGTTTCACCATGTTAAATCCCATGAAATTAAGAAAAATATCATAATATGACCATGAAAATGGCCATTGAAATAGTGGAATTTCCCATTAAAAACGGTGATTTTCCATGGTTATGTAAACGTTTACTGGAGGGTAACCATGAAGCTTGCGGATTTGTTTTCGTACTTTCACCACCCAAACAATGATGGAAACCATGGAGGATTGACCATGATTTAATCATCAATGCAGGATGGATTTGGTGCTCCCTAGTTATAAGATGTTATAAGGGGCACTATATACACTGTATGTGACCAGATGATGTGGAAGAACCAAAGGCAACTGCACAGCCTTTGTGTTTACCCCATATTCTTTGCAGCTTAGCGTTACTCCTGCTCTATAACTCAAACCCAACTGATGCTGAATAATCATGAATAACCTGCATCCGAGTTGATTTTGCAGTTGATTTTCCCATCTACCCTCTGGTAATTTAACATAGCTATGGAAAGATCCACCATTTTTAATGGGAAAATCCACTATCAATGGCCATTTTCAATAGCTATTTTGACATAACCAGAGGGTACAAAGCTCCATTTCTTGGAAAAAACATCCGGTTGGCAGCCGCGTTTGGTGTTCGCTGGCGCCTGCTTGGTGTAGTCATAGCGAACCCCCCACTGCGCCACTCGACGACCCTCCAGGGCTCGTTCCCAAGGGATGCTGATCGTCTCCTCCGCTGACCAACGACCACAAGGATGACCGGTTTCAGTGTTTCAGGTCGTGTTTCATCAATGTTTGAATCTGTTTTTTATATCCAAAACAAAACTGCGGCTTTGTTTCGAAAGGATTCCTGGATGAAAATTCCATCGATTTTCTGTTGAATCTGTGAATGATATGCCAGATATAGAGGTTTTTATCCATATAAATAGGACATATATCATATATGGATATAATTGGATATATAGGCAGTATTTTTTCACAAGGTGTTTTTGAAGAGGAAGCTGATCTCAAATATACCCTCTAAACTTGCGTCATTAGCTATGGAACATTAATATGTTGTTCATAGGTAAGGCGGTAAGTCATCTAACAAAAGGCCATGTGACCATGTTCCAGTCAATTTTAATTTTCAGGAACCTATTTTTCAGGCCTAAATTTCAGGGAAATTCCCCAGAAAATATGGCCAGAAATATGGTACGTTTACGTACCTCCATTCAATCGGATCCTGAAGATCTCCCATTGATCCAGAATGCAAACTGTTGCTTTGTCGTCCCATGGGATCCCGAAAAAAATCACGGTTTTTTGATGCAAAAAACATCCTGAACATCTTGGATGGATTTTCCATTCTTGATGGTTACCCTCCCCATGTTTCATGAATTTTGGTGGTTGGTTCATCGAATTGAACCCATATTACCCATATTTAATTGGATTTAAGGGAACATCAAAAAAGGAAAGCCCTGTGTTTCATGGTAAAAACATGTAAAAAAAAACTTGGTTTCCGGTGAAGATGTTCCCATCAACCAATCCATTGAATAATTAGTTGCAGGAGCGATAATCCCATTTGTTTGATGATTTTGGTTGGTTAATTATGGCTAATTCATCTAATAAAATCATGAAATCCATATTAAGTTTGCTCCCAGTTTGCGAACTCCCACCACCCCATCTGCTCCTCCATCCAGGTCTTTAACTTCGCCCAGTCCGTGGGGCTCTTGGCACAGCACCATCTCCTCAGGATCATCAGGAAATATACCACTTCAATAACATAATAATAACAAACATTGTAAAACATATTGTAAATTGTTATAAGATGTCATAACATAGTATGCCATTACATGCACATAACTGGATATAGATTAAAATTTGAGGACCTACTGCACATGGTCATTTTTGGAAGTTGAACCATCCAATTTTAGGTGCACTTTGTTTACCCATGCCAAAGTGCATATGTAAGCTGCCTCAAAACAAAATCCCAGCTTTCTGGGCTTATCCCAATAATAGCTCCCAAGTTGCAAGATCCGTCCAAGTACGGCTTGATCGCAAAGGGGGAGGCATGGCTACACAGGACTTGGGTATGGGTCAAGAATGAGGTGGACCTACACAATTCGTATCTTTTAGTGTCATTAAACCATCCATTAATCCCTCCATTATTGAACATATTTGGAATCCATGATATATTTCATTATCCATTAAAATTGTACCTTTAATGAAATATCAATGGATATAGAACTCATGCATTAAACCTTCCATGTTTGGGGGTAATCTTGGCCCATGCCCTTGTTCAAACCACCAAGCTCTCCACTACTGTTCGATATTGGAGTTCCATAGATTTTAGTACAGTTACATATATTAACACTATTGCCAAATCTTGGATACAATGTAAACAGAAAAACATTGCATGCTAGTAAATGTCCGATTTTATGACAATATTTAATATAATATAATATATTATATTATGATATATTATATTATATATTATAGTATATTATATTATTTGATAATATAATAAATTATTATAATATAATACAATATAATATAATATAATATAATAAAATATACCCAACCCAGGATTACCAAGTTGAGCCAACTTGTAAGATCTATTTATAGAAAACACCTTGAGGCGAAATGGAACGGAGCCAAGAGTCCGAAAGCCGTCTGGGAACGCCAAGGGCCTAAGCTGGCGAGCAATGCTCCACCGGTTTGGTGGTTTGGTTCGTCCATTTCTGGGATTGGTTGGTCCAAAGATGGACATAAAAACACATATAATATAAAAACACATAAAAAAAAACACCATAGAAATGTTGAGAAATCTTGAGAAAACCCATGGTCTGTGGCCGGATCTGTTCCAATCTTTGGCGACCTTCGTTGATCTTTGGAGAAAAGGATCATCCCTAAGGGAGATGTTTTTTTGCAACTGGAGGACATTACAATAGCTGTACTTAATGTTAACCAATAATAATGAATTTACCAGCTGTATTAATTACCATAGCTATCCATAGCTGTTCATTACTGACTACTTGGGAGGTATAATTACTATGTTGTACTTATTTAAATACCTCCCAATTTACCGTGATTTACCAGCTGTAAGAACATGAAGCCTCAGTCCTCCCACACCAGTCGTCCCAGTTTCCTCGCACGCCCAGCGACCCCGGCAGCGGGCTGTAGCAATTCCGACCACCCGACCTATCTTGGCCACTGACCAGGAACAAAGGCCTGGCATGGCCAAGGGGCAAAGGGACCTACCTACCTTGACACCAAGGCACCATTGAACATGGATGAACATTTTGTAGCTGATACAATTTCAAATTGTTGGTTCAACATAATTAAGAAAAAAACATGTTTTGGTGATACACAAATTATAGTTTCTAGACCAAATCCTTGATTTAGAGATATAACCGCCAGTTTCATGGCTACCCTGAGGCAGGCCCTGAGGGACTAGGTATACGTTTCCAGGTTTACCCTAGATATGGCCGTAGTTTTTCGATTTGTTCGGGGTTATATACTGAATTCGCTGGGTGAGAAGGAACAAAACAGGTGAATTCAGGTGTCTGATGGTGCCTGCGCCAATTACATCTAGAACCATTACCAGCATGGATAAACTGAACGTCAGTCAGCATTGACATTTTGAAAAAACAACCGTAAAAAACAATTACCCTCTGGTAATTTAACATAGCTATTGAAAATCACCATTTATAGTGATTTTTTCCCATGAAAAATGGTGATTTTCCATCGTTATGTTGAATTACCAGAGGGTAACAGTCACGAGTCACCGCGAGTCAACAAACCAATATATCAGAAAAACAAATCAACCAACTGGGCCATTGAAGCATTTCTTGACCCAGGTTTTGTCTAAAAATAGGACACCATTACATCCAATATGGATCAAAATGGTTGTTCAATGTTGTTCATGATTGTTCAGCATGTTCCGTATTATAGTATTACAAATGGTTTTGCAGAGATATACCATGATATACCCCTCTTTCAGACACATATGTTCCCATATGTCTGGGTAGATCAAACTAAATCCCTAACCTGAACTAAAGATAGAGAAAGGAGGTTTGAGGATGATTCATGATGATTCCCCATACAAACCATGATTCCAGTGAGGTCACGACGTGAGGTCACGAAAATTTTCCCAGATTTTTTCCATCATTTTCCATCATCCCACTGATCGCACCTGTTCTTCCAGTCAATGGTGAAGCCAGCTGAGCGGGGAAAAACCAAGCAAACCAGGGTGAAGACATGGGTAAATGCTTCAAAATTGTGATTTAACCCTCAAACTACACTGAAAAAAACATCATGTCCTTAGCTAGAATATGGTAAAATGGGGTTCTTTTGTCTGCAACAGGAGGTATGCCCATCATACCCCCAAAATGAACATTTCCTGGATTTTCCATAGGGGAAAACTGGTTACACAAAAGTTGATGAGTTGTTGTTCGTCAAAAGGGTTGAAGAATTTTTGAGGAAACGTGATAGGACAAAAATCCAAAATGGAACAGCAAGTTCTACGTTTTTTATTTAAGAGGATGAAAAACAAAAACTTTGCGCAGCGTCATTTTTGGGGGGAGTTGTGTTCTGGGGGCATTGAACTCTCTTCCTGTGTCCACGCTTTGCCGCTGTCCGAACCAAAATCTATAGCGCGCCATTGAAAAGGTGAAAACACTGTGCGAAAACCGGCGAAAACTCGAAAGCTCACCGGATGTCGAGCTAGCGAGCTACAATCCCCCCGAAATGGGGTGCTACACTGGGATAACAAATCCATACAAATACAAATCCAAACCTAAACCATGGTTTTCTGGGCATTTGTTGATAGTCTAGGTTGATAGGAGAAGGATTTTTTCGACTTCGACAACCTCACCTTTAACGCAGTACGGGTCATTGTAGGAAGGTCGCATCTATCAGCGATGTGGTGTCCGAGCACTGCGACTCTCGTGCCTGTCAAGAGTTCGCGTGCGAGCATCATCGCGGTACCAACCACATTTGCTTCCGCTTGATATGGACTGCCATAAATCGGATTGTTGGCAAAGGCTACGTAGTCTGTATGCCTTTCCAGTAGATATTTGGGATGTGACGCCTTGAGGTGGTTGCCCTGGCAGTTTTTGTGTGCAGCGTAGAAGACCCGCACCAGGTAAGGCAGCACCATGTTTTTGTCCGTCTTCTTCGAGAAGGTTTCCATGTACTGCAGAGCAGTTATGCTGGAGCGAGAAAACTCAGCTGCTTGTTCGGGGAAATGCAGTGCAGCGTATGCAGCCAAGCACGTCTGATGCTCGCACATTCGCCCTTCAATCTCGAGTTCCACGACCCAGCGCTGTTTTCAATGTATCACATGCATGACATTCACCCCTCTGTCTTAAAATCCAACAGACATACTCCATGTGGATCCATGACCACTGCCTGAGAATGTACAAGAAACCCCCTAGTCATCATACCCCAGTCATACCTTCTAAGAAGCTACCACTGGATCCATAGGGACTATCTGAATCTATGGTTCTACCTATTTCTGTTGCCAGAAATAGCAAACTGGTGAGTAAATGGCTACCTCCCAGTTCAAAGGGGGAAGGTCAGATTCCGTTTCCTAGTCGCCTAGGCGCTTAGCCGATTCTGGCAACATGTATTATCTCAACCATAACTTCAGAACTTCCATCATAGCATCAAAGGGTTTAGTTCCCATTGGAATGCTGATTCTTCCATGAAATGATGATTGATAATTGGACAACTATTATAAATATGTACCCTATTTTTGAGGGTTGGGTCCGCATAAGTTGATTATTCGATCTAGATCATTAACCATAAAACGGGGGGATTCTAACCTATGGATACCCCAAACCATTGGTTTTCCCATTGATTATGCAGTTATGGCCATTTATCAATTATAACTAGTTACAACTGGTTGTTTCTATGGGATTTAATACATTCTATAAATGGAGTTTTGTTACAACTGGTATTTCGGGCCATAAGTGTAATTATAACCCATAGGATTCATGTATGCTATATATGGTAACATTTACCATCAATATACCCTAAATGTTAGCATATATCCCAGCACCATGGATCCTCTGGGTAATCAATTTTGGATGATTATTGGGATACCTATGGGCCTATGGATCCCACATTTTTGGAACCCCCCATTTTTTCACAGATTCTTCCGTCGACCTCACCTCGATCCGCGTCGAACATCTCGCGGTCCAACACTGAGCTGGTCGGCATGTAGCGCAAGGCAACGCCTTCCGGAAGAGGTTGATTTAACTTGAAGGAGTTAGAGATGTCCATGATTGTGGAGGGAATAGCTAAGTGCTAGTTTAACTATACGTGGACATCTAGACCTTAACAAGGTGTTTTCTACAGTTTTGGTAACGCCTAAATTATGGCTGGTTGAATATTTATATATATATAGCCATCTTAATTCATGTGCTTCCTCTTTAGACAAGTCAGCAATGATTTGAAGATTTTTGGTTGTCCCGCAGAAAAACTGTGTTGGGAGTCTAAGGCAACGCATATGGGGTGTAATAGCAAATGGGAACATCATCCAGATGCTAGTTGATGGTTGTGGCTGGGGTCAAACCAATTGCCCTAGTGACTGGCCCTAGTGGGTGTTACTACAAGTGACACGACAACGGAAATCCACATCAACAAATACTTCATTATGGCTTGATCAGGTGTTTGTCTGCAAACGGTTTTGTCACGTTTATAGTCCAGAACATGTTGCAATCCAATCTTGCACTATCGCAACAATTGTCTGCATAAACATCACCGTTGGATCACGTTGATCATGATTTGGAAACCATTCTCATTTAATGCTGCTGGTTGCAGCAAAAGAGAACCTCCTTGAAGCACATCTGGTGTCTTCCTTGCTGTTTCCAACATAAACTCGCTCAGTTTTGAACATGGATGTCACATATGTTATGTTAAATGTGTTTACTTGTTTGGAACTCTAAGCACCTGAAACCATCCATAGTTCATCAGTACATTTTACCAGATAATGGCCTGTCATAATATGTCATAATAAGTATCTGGTAAACTCACATGACTATGGATCATCACTATTTTCAATAGTTCAACTATATGTTAGGCCATTTTCAATAGCAAAACTATGGAAAACCACAATTTTTTCGTAAATCAACTATAGTTAAATAGCAATGTTCAATAACGTTAGCTTAACCCATTGTTAAACCATTAAATCACCATTAAATCATGGTTAAATTACCAGACGTTATATAATTAAATTTCACTACATCCCATGAAATCCCACTAAAAGCTCCATGAAATCCCATGAATTCCCCATTAAATCCCGCTGTCCTGCCCGACGCCGCGGCGAGGTATTGGCATTGGAGCCATGGACCAGATAGACGTCGTGCATGGAGAACTGGCCTGGCCGCGTTGGGAAGAAAAGATGCATGGTTTCATGGTAGATACCCTCTGGTTTTATGGAGGTTTAATGGAGCTTTTAGTGGGATTTAATGGGATGTAGTGAAATTTAATGATATCACGCCTGGTTATTTAACCATGATTTGATGGTGATTTAATGGTTTAACAATGGTTTAACTAAAATCTCAACAAAATCAATGGAGTGGTTCAAGGGAAATTTTAAAGGCAAACCCCATACAAAAAATGGGAAAATCTATGGTTTCCGGTTCCAATTTTCCCTTGAACCAATCCATTGTGTTTTATATTCCCAAGAATTTCCTTGAGGATCAAAAAATGGTGCTATAATTTCAATTATAAATTCGCTCAGAAAGAAAATCCGATAAACATCCAAGTAAATCCGACGAATTTTCGATAAAAATCCGAGAAGTATATTGTTTTTGTGCATTGTCAAGTACCCTTGTGTGACCTACTTTTTCGCTACTGCCCTGATTGCCTATACTGCCTACACTTCAATCCACAGGCTTTGAGTGGACCAAGGCTCAGGCGATGTGATGTTTCAAGGGACCATTGGACCATGTGGATTTGTGGAGAACCCAACATTTTGAACCGAAACCTGAGGGATTGGAAGTACCATGGATGGCCTTATGAAAATTCAGGGTCCTTGAGGCAGTAAATGATTCTGGGTCAATTATAATAATTCACTAACCTGAATCTTGCGGCCATCTGGGAATGATTTCCCTATAAAGTAAACCATGATTTCCAGGGTTCGAGAACAGGCTTCGGTCGTGATCAGATTTACCCAGATTATTACCCTCTGGTTATTTAACCTAGCCATGGAAAATGGCCCATGTATCGATGGTTTACCATCTGGTTGGTGGTTTTAACATGTTAAAAAACCCCTCTGAAAAATGATGGAGTTCGTCAATGGGAAGGATGACATCCCATATATGGAAAAATCAAAATCACCTAACCTCAGCAAGCCATCCCAATCTTTGGATTCCCAAGCTTGGGTCCCGCGCAACTGAGCATCTTGGAGAGTGTGATTTTATGTATGTTTTTTTTAATTAACGCACCAATAATTAAATTGGGAACAACACAAATTACTGCTTTGTTATTAACACAAATTAAAAAATGGAACAACATTAACAGCAACAAATTACAAGAATTGGAAAATCCAATTTTCTTCAAAGAGTCGTTTTGCTTTTTTCAATTGTTGTCCCGTTTTTTCCATGGGAATATCCCACTAAAGAGTCGTACCAGCCAAGGTTATTCCATGTCGTCCTCCACAACGCCCAACCTGGGTCCAGTTCGACGTCCACAGCTGCGGGCAATTGACCTCAGGAGACGTTTCAAATCATGTTGATGGTTTAGAATTATGGTTGTTATGCCAAGGTTTCACAAAACAACACCCACATTTAAAAAAAATGTTCGAGTCAGTACATTGCACATAATTACATCTAACCTATATAGTTGTTCATGCCAAGATCATGTCACTTAGATTGTTTCAAAAGGGGTGATACCCAAAATTTTATCAAAATCAGAGAAGTCTGAGGATATGATGATCGGTCATGAGACCTTTTTATGTGCTGTTGATGTAAAATGCAAAACCATCTGACATCCTCACGACGATATTTCAATTTGGGAGTTATCTCAAAGTATGATATCTAAACGTCCTCATATTTATCCAGCAACTGCAGGTTTCTCTGACAATAGGTTTTTTTTCCCGTTCAATTTGGCCATAGCCAGAGCTGAAAGGCAATTCACCATTTTCAAACACCATAAGATGGTTCGTTACGTTGCATATATCTTATTTTTCTGGAAGAAAACAATGTTTTCCCGATCGACATGCAAACAAACATAAATAAACAACTAAATAAATAAATACATATAAATTATCTCTATACAGTATACATACAAAAAATAAATCAATGAAACATAATAAATCACATACATACATGTACAGTTATACATTTATACAAAATTATACAAACATATATCCGTGCATGTGCCCCCATTGATTTTCTTAGACGAGCCCTGCGACACCGTGACGCCGCCCCGGCCCTCTATACAGCCGCGGTGCCCAGTTCCACATCTGTCAGCCTTTGGCTGAGCACCATCCTCCCCTGCGATGTCATATCGCTTGTGCTCGCCATGATGGCGACGGACTTATTCTTAGAATCATTTTTTTGCAAAACCCATAGGATCCATGTATGGCATATATGCTAACATTTGGGGTATATTGATGGTAAATGTCACCATATATAGCATACATGGATCCTATGGGAAAGGTAACCAAGCAAAAAACAAAAACATAGTGGGAAACCCAATGCTCAGAACCCTAGACCTCTCAGCCCTTCAGCCAAACACAGCCATACCATTGATAGTTGAATCCGCTTCCAAGTTGGTTTGCAACAGACCTGGTTTCAAAAACACAGCTGAAACCACTGGTGGCAAAGAGTGAGCCACTGGGCCACTGGGCTGTAGCACCCTCAGTTGGGCCCTCAGGGATTCCAACATAAACCAAGATGAGCGTCCATGCTTGATCCAATAAAAATATGAAAGTTTCGAAAGTCATGGGGGGTACCCCCAAATCATCTAAGCCATGATCATTTTAGTAATAACTTGGGAATCCCCCATTTGAAGAACCTCCCCTATATTTCGTATTCAAACTGTTTCGTAGTTTTCATCCTTTGAACTTGTTAGAGTTTCTGTTAGCAACATACTTCAGCATCTTCAGCATGGATTCATATAGAGAACACGGGATCAACAAAATTGCTTCTCTTTAAATATTGAAACGTGGATTTCTGTAGAGTCATTTTTAATCCCCATTGTTGTTGAAATCCCATGTGTTGCTTGGTTTTGTTCTGATTTGTGACTTCTGAAAACATCCACCTTCTGGCATCCAGCATCCCACGCCTCACACTTCTCATGTTGCAACATCTTGCGATGTGACCGCGGCACCACACGCAGGGCGCCATTCTCTTTATCTGACCTGGAGTCTGTTGGAGGATGTTTTGACATGAGTCCAACAACATTGACGTGAGACAGCAACAGAAAATGACCTGTTGCAATCTGTGGACTTAAAAAATATCCACTTGAATACGGGCCAGCTACTAGTTATTCAAGTTATTCAATAGGACTCCCATGCCATAACATGAATCAACATGTATCAACCCTCAGAAGAAGTTACAATTCACAAACCGCTCCGGGATGGTACGCAACCGTGGCACCTGTCCAAAGCCACCCAAACCGTCACGGTGGACAAGGGTCGAATGGGCCAATACTCACCATCCTCAGGGGGTGACGGGTAGAAAAATGTGCTTTTTTGGGACTCAGAAAGTTCGTACATATATGTCCCTGTACCAATTATAAATGATATATAACTCATGATGTAACTATAAGGTTGTACAGACATCCTACTGTATATCATTATAATTACATGTATAGCTGCCAAGGGATAGAACTGTATGTTTATTTTTTTTTCGACTTGGATCAGCCAACTTTACGGGTTGATATATCGAAGCATATCCAATGATCCGAGTTGCCCCACAACAACCTCAACTTCAGGTCATTAAAAATACACCGTTTTCCCATCTCATGATATACCAGTTCGTTGAAAACGATTTCCCTATGGCTTATCATAATCCCAATGAAAAAACAGGTAGTATAATCCCCTATAGCAATCAATGCACCAGCGTATTGTTATTCCAATTATTAACCATAGATTAACCATAGATGAACCAGTGTATTTTTCATGGCTCAGGTGACCATGAACTGTATATGACACATGCAAAGGTCGCAGCAGTGGGACTCTGGCAAATTGCTGTACCTGTTCTTGTTTTGAGGAAAGTGCTTCTCCCTAATATATATATATTATTGTATATATATATATATATATTATTGTATATATATATATATATCATTGTATATATATATATATTATTGTATGTATATATTATTGTATATATATATATATTATTGTATATATATATATATATTATTGTATATCTATATATATATTATTGTATATATATATATAAATTCTGTCTATATATATTATATATATATGAACCCCCGAAATGGGTTTGGAAGGTGTTTTTCTAAGTTCTCTTGAACAACCTGGTCGAAATGCCAAAAAAAACACATTTCAGGGCCACCGTTCGAGTTTTTGTTGGATCAATCCGCCGCTTCGCCGCTCCCGGGACTCCCGCCTGATGCATTGGCACTTCCATGCCGTCGAAACCTGCCGCAGGCAGTTTGTGATTGGCTGGGTTGGGATGTGCCCTGGTTGATCATCTGGTGGTTGAGCCCTACCCTCTGGTAAACTAACATAGCTATGGAAAGATCCACCATTTTTCATGGGAAAATCCACTTTAAAGGGTCATTTTCAATAGCTATGTTAAATTACCAGAGAGGGTACCCCTCTGAACCATATTTTTGTGACTTCGTCAGTTAGGATGATGACATTCCCAATGGAAAGTCATTCAAAATTCCATGGTTCCCACCGCACCCACCGTGGGTTGCTCCCACCGCACCGCAGTGGGCCGATTCACAGAGGTCAAAAGTGACCATTTTTCCCCTCGATTAAGCGACCCGGCTTCGACAAAGGGTACAACTGAAACTCTTCACCAATTCCGCGTGAGAAGTAATGTGAAGTGGTTGGACGCTTTTATGCTTTTGTTCGAATGGAATCAAATGATCATGCCTTTTGCAGGTGTATTACTGTATTGAATGCACATGTTTTCGAGTTGAGATGTCAAACTCCGCATTCCTCACACCAGCATTATGTGTTCATATGTGTTGTGGCAACAAACAGAAAATATGTTGACAATCTATCAAATATTCTATCAAGTCCATACATGTAAATTGAACTACTACTTATGCTTTCCAATAAATCCAATAATTTATTATCCAGCACATTCTAAATATAGTTCAGTCACTAGTGTGCTAAAGCCAATTGTAAACCATCCGTGCCTGGTTTGCAAAAGATCTGACATCCCCATAGGGCGAAATCCAGACCCAGCACTTGGGCAACGGCCTCGAGACGGCCGGGTGGCACTCCTCTGCGTCTTCCCAATGGGTTTAATAACAGAGAGCGATCACTAGATAATGACAACTATTATCATAATAACAGTAATAAGTAATAATGATAATGATAGTGAGAATTAAGTACCAAAAACGAACAATTTAATGATCATGATTATTTGAATTTGTATTTAAACAATGATAATATTGAAACTCGTCATCACCATCATCCTGAAGCAGATGAAAGCAACAACAGCATCATCATGGTTACTGGAATCATCTTAGCACCCCCCCAAGAAAACAATGCAAATACCCTCTGGTACACTAACATAGCCATTCAACACCATCGTTTCTAATAGGCAAATCATCTATAAATGGATCATTTTCCAGACCCAGATGCAACCCATGGTGCTGGAATATGAATCCCAACATTTTACCCGAACAAAATCACCCAGTTTTGTAGGTAAATATACCAGCACCATGGATCATGTTCCATAGCAACGTTTGTGAAATGACACGAATGTCTTTGGGCGCACCTCCAGGATCAGCGGCTGCAGTCCCAACTGGAGGAAATCGTGAGAACCAGCGACGCCTGGTGTTTCAATGGCTGGGTTTTCAATGGAAGGTGTCAGCTGTCTCACCCAAACATAGCGGAGGGTTCATCTCCAAGAAGATGTGGAAGTTGCGTTTTTAAATTTTCCCAAGATGGGAGAGTGCCTGAAAGGTGGCAGTAACGCTTAGTGTTTGAAGGCCGAAGAATTTCGTGGGGGAGTGGAACGTACAGCTGGCAAACAAAACAGGTTTAATTAACCATCAATAATTAATCGAGACTCCCAAGCAGTGGCGAGGCATGAAAACAAATCACCAGTCGCACAATGGGCGAATTTTGAAAGGATCTGGTGCCTGGTGCTTTGTTAATTTCCCTGCCAAAAGTTCCAATCTTGGATATCCAATAGGATCCATGTATGCTATATATGGTAACATTTACCATCAATATACCTCAAATGCTAGCATATATACCATACATGGATCCTATGGGTATATGAGCCCATCCAATTCAGCCAAAAATCGTGGAAATCTATGGCTACACCGGGTTTTTGAAGGGCAGCGAAAATTCCCAGAAACGGCGGTGCGGCGTGCATTTTTCAACGGCACCTTCCGTGCCCTTGGCTTCAAGATGCGCGCTGACCTGCGAGGTCTGACACACCAGGCCCCGAGTTTTCTTCAACTGAGCCATGAAGGTTATAGTCAGAGCACTACCCCAATGAAATACTGCTTGGTGAAAAGGTATCCCCATGGGTAAGAATAATCCCCAATCAACTAGGTAGTATAAACCCTCTGAAGTCAATCAGTTTCAGTTCAATGTTCATATTTGACTACATATAAATTCACTAAGAAAAAGTGAAGGGCCAAGGGTGGTTTGTGGTTTGATCAATACACACCACCTTTTTCTCACTTCTTTTCACGTGGTTTTTCAATGGTGTGCGCTCAGCAGCCCAAAAACGCACCATGACCCTGCCGTTGGTTGGGAATGGTTGGGAGGCTCTGCCCATCACATCTGATTCCACTGAGAATGGTGTCATTTGCCCTGACCCTCTGTTTTTCTCAGGAGGTAAGCCCCCAAAAATGTTGTGATTTTTGTGACTATCGAGGTAGCCCAACAAAAAATGGAGACTGGGGGGTTACCGGGATCATAATCTTGGGTGAATTCTTGGGTATCGCGAATTTGTTGGTGGTTTTGGTTCTCCATTGACATATGATTTTCCTATGGTATTCCAGGACACGTCCGCCAGGTCCCCCAGGTCCCAGTCACCAGCAGTTCGGGTCGAACGGAGGGGTTCTGGGCAATGACCCGGTCCTGGCTTCGCACCGTTTTGAGGGAAATCCTCTGAATTCCAAATGACTAAGGTGGTGCCCCCAGTCGATAGCTAAGTTGGTTTATAACATTTTATAACTCCAATAACAATGGTTTATAGGTGATATAACTTAAATAAACACTCCAATAACTATGATTTATAGGTGATATAACTTAAACCATAGTTAACTAGGGGGCAGCACCTTGTAGGCTTCTGAAATCATAATTGTTAAGTTGCTGCAGGTGGTTTCTGGGAAATCCCCGAACTGAATGGAGGTTTGAATGGAAAAATGGTCGAAGCATGTGTCATGTGTTGTCCAAGATTTGATTACTGGAGGTAATATATATATATATTATATATATACACCCTCTGGTAATTTAACATAGCTATGGAAAATGGCCATTTATAGTGAGTTTTCCCATTAAAAATGGTGATTTTCCATTGCTATGTTAAATTACCAGAGGGTATATGTAATGTCAACCCCGGATTTTGCTAAACCATGGTTTATTAATTAGGGGGTATTCCCCCAATAGTCATGATTTGATACTTAAATGGTACCCTCCCAATTAAACAGCCTTTATTAATCCAGGGTTGACATTATGTATGATTCAATATAATGGTTGACTCCGAAATAAACAAATAATCACCACTACTAATCACAAACAGACCACTGCTAAACAGTCTTGCTAGGGGGTCTTATTGGGATGTATTATCCCTGAGTCCAACAAAACGGTTGTTCCAGGATTTGCAATCCAATCATGCCATGTCACATCATGTGCTCACTGGTAAAGAACCGTGGCTGACCGTAGCATCAGCTCGGAAATGCACATTTGATTAGCCCGGAAATACACAATGCACTGATTCTGATAAACTGGATGGTCGTCCCAAGCATCACTGGTATGGTTTGCTCTGCTGACAAGTCCGCCAAGACATGTCCAATGGAAATTCCAGCAGTCTATAGCCACAATCTGCAGGGGTCATATTTATATCCCAAGCTTTGCTTTGGCTAGTAATATGGTTATACACCCCATAAATGAATAAATAAATACATGAATATAATATATATATATATATATATATATTATATATATATATATGTACTGAAACATACAAATACATGTACACAAACACAAACATATAAAACCATATTTAAACATGTAAAAACATCTATAAACCATGTATATATGATGTAATTATATACATACTCTACGTATATATATATATATATGATATATAATTATGTACAACTATAAAGCATATGAAAACATCACCGCAACTGCACCCCCAGCCGCACCACGGAAAGTGTTGCGGGGCTTCCAACGCCCAGCGTCCAGGCTCTGTCGAAAACGTTCCACCTCCTCCGCCGATAGACTGGCCTCGATGCCACGTTTCAACAAGGGGCAGGTCTTAAAACCATGGGAAAAGCGTAGGAGCAACAAAGATGGGGACTGAACGGGATTTATAGCTGATTTATATGCTAAGTTGGCGAACAGAACTCCAATAACTCTATGGTTTATGGTTACTTGATGATCTGATGGGATTATAAACCAACTTATAGCTAGGGGGCACGGCACCATATAGTAGTACTTGGGGTGGAACCCAATGTTTATCTTAGGAGGGCGTATCCATTGTGATCAATAGGATTTTGGTCAAAAGAGCTGAGTATATGTTGAGTAATTAATTGAGTAATTAATTCTTTTCAATAGGGCTTAAGGACTAGAACAGCTTTGCCGTTGCTGTAAACAGAGCAAAGATCTGGCAAAATGGTTTCTAGATTTTTCATGATGTTTCCTGCACATTGCATGTAACCAGTTTGCGACGCACTATGATGGGTCGGGAGTCAACTCCAGTTCAAATCCGCTGTACGATTTGAGGACAGGATCTTCTTGCGAAATATTGCGCCGCACATCGCTGCACTGTGTCCACAACTTCCAATATCAGAGCAACTTTTTATGACATGGACTACGCGACTGCCCTGAAACTGAGTATTCTGAGATGAAATTGCCACAGCGTGGCAGTGGAAAGTCCGCAAGAACATTTTAAATCTAGATCTATTCTACCCATATTTACCAGGGCGGGAAAATGATTTTTACCAGCTAAATGACTCAAGGTCAATTCCTGTGAATTAAACCCATGTAAAAGAATCTAAGTTACCATAATTTATAAGTTATATTCCCATGATATGCCCATGATATCCCTACTAAATGGGGATCATTACCCCCTCGGCTAGGACACCTTTTTGAAGCCACGTGGCCTTTGGTATGAGCCATCCTTCACGGTGGTAGGCATCGACCTTCCGATTAAAGCACCAATCCGTATCTAACCAGTCGCTTGACCCAGAAGGGCCAATGTTCTACATTGGAAGGCATGGAAAGGCATGGAACAAACCTGCTGGGCCCCAATCATCTTATCAATGGGAATTCCAGGATCCTAAAATGGAGGTACTGTACCATATAAGGCCTTACATATGGTAGGTACCTCCAATTTAGGAACCTGAAATGGCCAGTGATCTTACAATAAATCTCATATTTCATGGTCTATTCACCTCGGATTCGTCAGGTCGACACAGCAAACTGATAACTTTTCTCAGCCTTCCATTGCTCAAAACAACATGTGTTTGATTGTGTTTGTGTGGTGGTGAACCCCCGGATTTTTCTAGATTATGTAATAGATGATATATGATGATATCCACCACATGATTCCCTGGTGTCCAACTTGTTTCATCTGTTTTGGGACTGGTATACATACAAAAGGGGGTGCGGTCCGGGCTATTTAAACTCCCAAAGTTGGGACGTAACATATAACAGATACTGCATATATATACACCCTCTGGTAAACGTTTCCATAGCTATGGAAAAACACAATCTTTAATAGCTGGGTAATCAACTATAAGAGGATCCTTTTCAGCTATGTTAAATTACCAGAGGGTATATATATATATTTATACATATAATCTTAGTTCACTGGAACTGCACCCCCCCCAAGTAGGTTGTAGAAGTTATTCCATATCCCAAGTTCCATCCGTCCTAAAATCCCATCGTTTTTCGCATGAACAACTGCCATGAAAATCCCACCAGAAAGTTGCTTCAGGTTGCGGGTGAACTCAGCCCATGGTGTTTGTTGTTTCTGACATGTGTTTTTTCTTTCAGATGTTTACCCAAAAATAAAACATGTAATATGGCCAATATATATATATATATATTATAATATATATATATATATTATATATATTATATAATATATATAATATATAATATATATATATATAGTAAACCCAATCATAAACCACATCCAATTGTAACATGTATGTTGCTGCGAACCATAAATAGTCATCAATTTTCATGGCTTTGTGATGATGATAACTTTTGTTCTGGGCAAACTACTTGCGTCACAAACCTGAGATAAGCAAACAATCTAGGGAATGATGAATGATTCCCCAGCACCTATCTCTTACTATCATCGATAGTCAGTTTGCACCTGGGAAGGATGGCAAAATAGCACACAACTAAGAGTATCATATAGTCACATAACTATAGATAATAGATAGCACATTCATCAAATAATATTCCTGTAAAATTGCAGTTCCCCCTATCAACTATCATACCACAGACCCTACTGCCCTGCTGAACCACTATCGCCCACCTCCCCCGAAGACAGGCACGGCTGCCATTCCGACGACTCGTCGTTGCGCGGACGTTTCGCAGGCGTTGAAGCGGCCATGGCGCAGCAATGATGCCGAGGGAGAACTAACTGGCACGGCGGTGATGTTCTGAGATATTCATCGAATCACTGTCAATGATATTGAAATCTACTTTGTAATGTAAGTCATGAACTGAAATATAGTCATTGTATTAAATAACTATCAATGATATTGAAATAGAACTATCAATGATAACCAATCATTATAGTCATTGTATGAATTTTACCAAAGATGGTAAGTGCTGGGGATCTCTGGTTACATCAATGTTCATCCAACCAAACAATGGCTGATAGCCAGCCACGTCCCTGTAAGTTTGTGGAGTTGATTGGGCTAATGGGCTTCCAGCAAATGCAGCCCAGAATTCTTTATTATGTGGTTGAAGTGGGCAAAAAAAGCACAGTATAGCACAGTGACTCCTGGCACAGTCTCTTCAACCACAATTGTATACAATTGTACAATTTTTATTTACAAGTATGTATGTAATGATTCATACCCCATAGGATCCATGTATGCTATATATGGTAACATTTACCATCAATATACCCCAAATGTTGGCATATATACCATACATGGATCCTATGGGTACATGTTAACTGTGACTGGCAAATACTGGCAATATGTTAGGAACCATTTGGATCTACCCGAGTGACAAGCCACCTTGAAACTCGCTTTTGGAATCATCACAGCAAGTCTCATGCGATTGGTATCGGGTCCTCATGGGTGCTGCCTGGTAGTCTGGATATGTCTGGATGTGCCCATAGGTCTTGTTCAGCAACAATGGTAGACTTCACAGCTGTGAATCAGCCAAGCTGCGAAATAGCTGACATGCATACGGGCATAGCGTCCCCTGGAGAAAATGTTGAGTGTATCTCCCTCGTCTTCATTCCCAGCTTCATGGCTGACAGGCTTGGGTTTGCATCCCTTTTGCTTGACCGGCTAAAACCCAAGAATACGATAGAATAGGAATATCCACTAGTAATATACCCTCTGGTAAAACAAACATGGCTATTGAACATGGCCATTTATAGTTGATTTACCCATTAAAGATGGTGATTTTTCCATAGTTATGTTAGTTTGCCAGAGGGTAATTCAGAACCAACTCTTGAGTTGCCACATCAGAACTCAGGAACATCAAAGTGCGCTGCTTGCTTGTAATGCTTTCAGGTCAGTGATAAAACTTCCATCAACCAGCCTTGACGGCTGTGTACCCTTAACGGCTGGGTCTCGACTCTATACATATTTTGGTCGGCTATAGTGACTAGTTCACAAGATCTCAGAGGATGCTTGGAGCTTTGTTGTTGGATCATCTCTGTTAAACAAACATGTTAGCGGATAATCTCCACATTCAATACACGTTTCATCTGCAAATGGGAGTTTGCCCAGTGCCATGTTAGATTGCCAACGGATAATTCGTTGTCATATATAGGAAGAAGGCACTAAATTTGGACCTGGACTGTTTTGTTTTCCAGCCACACGACATGTTTCCTTAACCAGGGTGAGCAGGGACCCTTCCATCAGTGGCCCTGGGTCTCCGACGGCACTTCGGCATACACGTCCTGTGTTTGGGGAAGGCCCGAGGGAGGTCCTGCCTGCGACCGTGAACTAAACATGATCACATACTTATAGAATATACCAACTGGGTCCACTCCAAGTATCTTCTAGACTAAAAGTCTAAATACATATGTGTATAATATATATATATATACATATGAATTATATATATATATGTATATATATATATACAATTATGCATTTCCCACATTCCCAGTTGGCAGATTCTAGGGATGATACAGCCTGGAATTCTAGAGGTTGCTGATGGGGCAATGGCCAGGCCACTCAACAATAAGTACTGGCCATAGGTACTGGCCGTTAGTATACATGAAAGAACCAACAACCAAGCACGCACACTTCACCAGAAAATTCCGATGACTCATTTTTGTTAACCCCAGGGTTCATCGTGGATTATCATTACCCATGACGGATCCATGGTGCTGCTATATATGGATAATTATATATGGTAACATGGATACCATCAATATACCCCCAATGTTGGCATATATACCAGCACCATGGATTCTATGGGTTATGATTACTTTGGTGGGAAAACATGAGTCATTTCACTCTCAGAGTTCTGCACGTTCAGACTCCTGGTGAATCTCCAGGATTTAGATGGCTCAAAACCACGCCGAACGAACTTGGGAGATCTAAGAAGCCTATGGATTTCCGGCTTTGAATGTTTTCCTATCTATGGATATCACCGTGATTTCACCGGTTGAAACATATTGAAGCATCGAACACAAGACAAGTGAAGCAACACACAAAGTTAGATTTGGTTTGTTTCAACAACTGAACTATGAGGCCTTAGCCAACCAGAACCAGCCCATTGGCACCTTCATAGGCTTAGGATATGGAGCACCAGGAGCGTTGGCTGGAAGTTTCTGCGGCCGCACATAGCGATTGATTCGTATCCCTGGCAGCCGACTGGTCCGACTAAATTCCCCGATAGCCAAAGCCAAAGGACCAAACAAAATGATACCCTCTGGTAAACTAACATAGCTATTGAAAATGGCCATTTATAGTGGATCTACCTATCAAAAATGGTGATGTTCCATAGTTACGTTAGTTTACCAGAGGGTACCCTCTGGTAATTTAACATAGCTATGGAAAATCACCATCTTTGATAGGTAAATCATTCATAAATGGTCCGTTTTCCAATAGTAATCTGGTTGGTGGTTGAGCCACCCCTCTGAAAAATATGAAAGTCAGTTGGGATTATTATTCCCATATATTATGGACAGTCATAAAAAGTGTTCCAAACCACCAACCAGTGATAGTTGAAGGGACCAAACATGTGCTGGTCTTGATTTCCAATACGACCGTCAATATCCACAGGTTCATCCCCATGGTTTTTCAATAAAATCACCTCTCCACACATTGAAAGCCTAGGCCCAAGAGTGAAAATCTCTAAGACCATCCATCCAGTAATCCAGTATTTGCCTCGCGAGTTTTTTGCTCGGCGCATCAAACGTCTGACCTGCGCTTTGGCGCAGAAAACCGTTGACGGCGAGATATCGCTACAAGATCTCTCACAGTTTCCTTTTTGATCAAACAAAAATCACAGAATGAAAGTCAAAACTGAGTCAAAACAACTATTTGGAGGTTCCACAACGCGCCTACCTTTGCTACTTCAAACCCTTCTCATGCTTGAATCAATTTTTGAGGCATGTGGCTTGATCCAGTTGGACATTAAGTGAATGAGAACCAATAAGGATAACCCAAATGACACCTGGTTTTGATGGTAGACCTGGTTTTCTATGGATCAAGACTTTCTATATTGTGGGTCAAAACCTTCAAACCAATGGTCATTTGTTGTTCTTTCCTTCTTTATTCCGTTCTTTCTGGATAGTAACGCCCATTGTTCAAGATTGCTGTTGATAGATTGTTGCAAGCGTTGGTAATACAGACAGGAAGCAGGGAGGCAGAGGACCAGGAAGTAGACTAGCAGAAACACATGACTGAAAAAAACAGTAGAATAGTAGAAGTAGAAGGGCACAGAAGCAGAAAAGCAGAGAAGCAGGAAAAACAACAAGCGGAAAAAGCAGAGAAGCACACAAGAGAAAGGCACAGAAGCAGACAGGCAGAAAAGCAGAGAAGCAGAAAAGCAGAGAAGCAGAAAAGCAGAGAAGCGATGAAAGCAGAAAAGCAGAGAAGCAGGAAAAGCAGAGAAACAATGAAAGCAGAGAAGCAGGAAAGCAGAGAAGCAGGAAAAGCAGACAAGCAGAAAAACAGAAAAGCAGAGAAGCAGAAAAGCAGGAAAGCATAGAACCAGGAACCCAAAAAAATCCCAAACCTCGCAAAGAAAAATACATAGCACTCCTTTATAAAACTATGATATGTTGGGTTAACTATCTAGCTTAAGTATCATTAAAAATCCATCGTTTGGTGGTAAACTATCGAATCTTCTTGGGAACCTCCATCCGATCCGCCGGCGCGCCTTATGCTCGGTGAAGACCGGTAAGCCGACGCGAGGCCTCAGCGTGAAACGGTGAGGCCAAACCGCGCGACCTGGGAAGGTTTCACCAAGAGAAATGGAATAAACCCTCTGGTAATTTAACATAGCTATTGAAAATGGCCATTTATAGTGGATTTTGCCATTGAAAATGGTGATTTTCCATAGTTATGTTAGTTTACCAGAGGGTAAAACCTATGGATGTCTCTGAAAAATGGGGCTACCACCATTTTTCATCCAGTCGTCATGGATGACCATTGACTTCGTATTGAAACAACATTGGTGACTTGGAGATCCCCCCCTTTTAAGGCCCATATGGATCGTATGGATGTCTCTGAAAAATGGTTTCTACCCCAACTTTATGGCCATGTGAACGGGACATTTGTGATCACCCATGTGATTCATGCCACCCAAATGGCATCTTAAATGGGAAACGGACCGGTAGTCCACAATTGAGTTCCATGATCTTCCCAGCGACTAGTTCGAGGATTTTCCAACTTGCCACGTTGGACATCGGAGAGTATCAAACCAAGATGAGAGAAAACCCTAAGGCCCTAAGGCTACGTTGAAGTCAGTGCCAAGTGATCCAAGTGACTTGTACAGCAAGGGTCGAAGCTTTTGTCCCATTCGGTTCAAGACCTTGGCACGGCAGCTCTCATCGAAGCACTTTTTCGCGATCCGTGGAGCAATGGTTGTCCAGGGGTTCCTTGAACTGGATGCAAATGGGGATATAACCAACAGTAAAGTTGGGATAATTTGGCGATTTAAGCAATATGTCATGCAAATGGTGTTTGATCATGTCATAGCTACTTGGGTGGGTTTATACAGTAAGTGGGTTAACGATTGTGTTTATGGTAATTCAAACTATAGTTGGACAAACCAATAAACCAACTTGTGACTGGGGGCACCACCTCGTTCACCCCAACATTCACTCATTCATGCAGCCCCAGTTGGTACCATCAACGTCCTTGGATTTCCGGGCCGCTTGAAGAACTAGTCGCATCATTCATCACCACTTGTCTTAGTGGTGAAAGTTGTGGTGTCCGCCAGGCTGATTTCCGCAGTGCTTGTTCCCAGCCAGGTCGTCCTGGTGGTGGATGGAGGCGACAACTGGTCAAATCCGGGCCGGTTGAGCTTCCTCAGGTTGAAGGTGCTTGAGAGTTACTCAAAGTAGTTCTCCTCAAAGATCTCTCATGGGTTGGTGGGGCTTGCTGAACACTCCGTTGTGGTCTAATTGTTTCTGAACTTTGCTATGGCTTCTCTGTCAGCCTGTGGATTCACAAATCTGTAAGAAAATGTATATTTCCCAGTTACAGTGCCTGTATGACCATAAAACATCATGTTTAATCACCAGTTTTACAACTATATAACACCAGTGTGGTTTGCCACAGAGGTACTTGATACATATGTTGACCATTACCCATGTTGACTCAATCAACACATGTTGCTTGCTTGCATTCCTGTTGATCACCAGTTTTACCATAATTGTTTGCCACCATCCATTAACACAGCTTCACCACCCAAATCACCACACAAGTTGGTTCAAAATGCGATATACCCCATTTCCATTTTTCAATAATTTTAATGAAAATCATGAAACGGGCATGAATTTGCATTTTCAGACACACACACACACAAATCCCTTGTATGAACATATTTAGTCGGTTGTTACATATCACCATGAATTGAAGGGCAAATTCCATAAACGTTTCCTGTTTCTTCTGTTTGTTTTTCCTTGGATGATTATATATCCCATAAAAGTTCTACATTTCTGGGCTGGGTCAGAAATGCCAATATATTTCTAGAATACATATCCCAATGCTGGATAAGAATCATAGATCTGTTGCAGGTTGAACTCTTGGTGAAACCAAAACCTCGAATCAACAGATGGGTTTAGGGACCGTTTTTTTAAATTCAGGAAACCCATATATATATATATATTTATTTATATATGTATATATATATATATATATATCTATTTATATATATATACATGATGCGCTCCGTTTTTTGGGGGGTTACGTTTTATATGGGACAATCATCTTTGCCGAGGCACAAAGGTGATCTCCTTCAGGGAGAGACGCTTCTCGTAGAGCAAGGGCTCGATGAAGGGCCGCAGCCTCGGAGGGGTAACGCAAGGATTAGATGGCAAGGAAGATGCCTCAGGGTATCTCGGTTTGTACCATGTCATATATATATATATGTGATAATATATACATATATATATATATTATATGTATCACATTAAATGTATATTATGCTATACGTATGTATATAGTTAGAATAGGGTTTGCCCATCTTCCAAACCCTGAACCCCAAACCTGACAACCCACAACATACACAACATAAACACAATAGATCGCAAACATTTCAGAACAACAAACCACAAACACCAAACCCCAAAACAATCAGAACAATTAACCACATATCCCAATCCAAAAACAATCTCAATTTTTCAACAAGACTTGTCTTGTTGAAAAAATGCCCGCCTAAATTTATGAAACATCATCACAAAACAATACCACCAAAATCACAATATAAACTCATCACAAACAACATCACAACAACAAAAACTACCAGCATAACCTTGCCTAACTAGACTTCATCCCCAACAACTATTATATTCACTGTTCGCAATTTGGGGTGTAGATCCCCCCTACGCCAGACCTTACGCAATGCTTCCGCGACCACAATTTTGACTTACGCGGCATGCATGTAAATATAGTTACTTACGCAAAGCTTATGCTGAGAGGTTTGACTTAAAACGCATAGGGAATGCCTCCGCCAGAAGGTATAATAATGCTTGCGCCAGAGCTTACGCATTGTTATTTTGCAAAAGTGGCTCACGCCACCTACCCAGGGTTTTGCTTACGTGACCCACTCATATGACACAACTCTTCTTAAAGTGTATTCAGGTGTCGATGATCTTGTCAAGCGCTAAAAATCACAATTACTATAATAGTGCTGCACACATATTTCATGATTACCCTCCAGTAATTTAACACAGCTATGGAAGCCATGGCACCTTTCGTTCGATGATCTGCTGTACCAATCACAAATTACACGCTAGAGTAACCCCTGCAATCAACAGATCTAAAACAACCGACCAACCATCATTTGGTTATTCATTGTTCATAATAAAAACATATATTTGGTATTTCAATCAATCCCTGGATCAAATTAACCAATCAACAAAGAGGTTTATAATATTTTATAATGATGAGTAACATCTTGTAACCATCCAACATTTGATGATTATTTAGTTGGTTGGCTTCTTCCATCCTTCAGTAATCCATGAATCTTGTTCCACCCATTCTTGGTGGTGAACTCCCTCGGCTGAGCTTTCAGACCGTTCCGCCTCTTCGTTCAACTCCCTTCGGGCATAGCCTAAAACGTGGCGGATGTGGGTTGCTGGGATGAAGTGTTTCTATCGTGGATCCCATGTACATCTACGAAATCTTAGTTCATATTTTGTCCATGATTGATCTGTTTAACACTATTTATACAGTAGTTGTTTTTTTCGTGTATTCAATGTGGTTGTTTGAATCCAATGTTGACAAGTAAGGGGCATCACCAAATGTTCATCCAGATTATTAACACACCCGTCGGCATGGATCATCGAGAACAGGCAGGGATGCAAAACAACAGGTGCGGAAAGAAAACACCATTTGTAGATAATTCTCATAGGGAAACCATTCCTTTTTCACCTCTTTCTGTACGTTTCCCCTAGGGTTATTTTTACATGGTTTTATGTCTTTTTGTTGGGACAAAAGAAAGTGTAGCCCTAAAATTGGATGGTTCAGACCAAAATGACCAATCCATCCAACTGTTTGACCACAACTAAGCGCACGACACAAGGTCCCTCGGATCCTGACGGGGGAAAGTCATGCGACAAAAGCTGCGTTTGGTTATAGTGGGTGATACTAGCTGCTTTAGGGAAAACCATAACCAAATTCAGAGAGATACCGCACAAGCATGAAAAGAACATTTTTTTGTGAGATGGGATATGGCGGACATGGGTACTTGGTAAGACTTTCATGGTCTTTCGCTCACAATTTTAGAGCGCAAGCATCATCTCTTGGTTGAAACCTGAACTCAGGAAACACCTGAGCTTGTCAAAATGTGCCCCAAATCCATTGCTTAAATGTTGGTTAATCCGATTAATCATAGTTTGTCTTTTGAAATTAGCAGTTGAGGGTACCACACTCTCAATCACACCCATATTTGGGGTTGTCCCATATGTTATGCTTTTTTTAATGCAGAGACCTAGTTTGAAGAAAATGTTCTGCGGCCATGGCTTGAAATCTATACAGCCTGCGAGTCATTTTGTAGTGAGGTCGTGGGAAGGTTGCCGTAATTCAGCCACCACACAGGACTTCAAACTGCTTACATCCCTATATCTACACCCATCTAAGAATCTATTTAGATATATAAAGGCCACCTATGGGTTCGTCTGAACATATATCCCAAAAACCCAATGGCTGTTCATGGTTGTTGATCATGTTCCCTATTACAGATGGTTACGCAGAGATATACTCCATGTTCAGACACATCCAGATTTGGTCCCTTCACGGATCACTTGAGCTCTTGAAACATATCCCAATCCCATCTCAATATACTATATAATAATGTGGTTAAACCAATAATAAACCATCCCCTAAATCACCATAAATGGGTGGTATACACCATAAAAATCTTGTTGGATTATTATTGGTTTACCAATATGATAGTTGGTTGATAGGTTTCCATACTACTGGGTTACTTCAAAATCGTCTATAACCCTGGTAATACATTCCTTTCAATAACCAAGCAAACATGATACTTGAACCCAAAAAGACACTCTATATTTTTTCTGGTTTCATCCCCATTTTATCACCATTTGGCGATTGACCATCAATTAATTAATTCCCAATAAATTGATGGTTTTTCATTGATGGTTTGATGGTCCAATCATCAAAAATCACCAATTAGTTGATGCAATCATGGTTTCATGACCATCCCCTGTAGTGGGTCTATCATTTAATTGCTGATAGTTACTATAGTTGGTGAAACACCTTGTTATATCATGAAGATTCCCATAAACATGTTCAATTAAATCCGAATAATTTTCAATTATGAAACCCAATGGGATTTTTTTTGGATTCTTCATGGACCTTACTTGAATGGACCCTTAAAAAATTAATTGATGGCCATTCAATTGAGTTAAATCCGCCTTTCAATGGCTATTTGTGAGCCGCCCACCGTTTTTCGCCGCCCTTGAGCCGCCGGGCTCACGCTTGGGGCGGAACTTTCGCACCGGGCGAGGGTCCAAACCTTGGCGCCGCAACGAATGTGGAGGTTTTTCTGCTGGCTGCCAACAATGGGAGGTGTTGAAAATCGTGATTTAGTGGTGATTTAATGGTGGTTTCATTCAAGATTTAATTCTGATTTTATGTCTGTTTGATTTATGATGACTTGACGATGAACTAGTGGTGATGAAAAAAGGTGGTTTCGTGAAATTAATAATGATGTAATGATGATTTGGTGATGACTTTGTTGTTATTTATGGTGATTTAGTGGTGATGCAATGATGATTTCATGGGATGTTAATGGGATTTGTTGGCGATACAATGGTGACTTACGGGAATTCAACTATATATACTTTCAACAAGAAGCCTGATGTTTCCCCTAGCCAATTAACTATGGGGTTTTAACATGCCAATGTTGTGATTTGACAGAAAGAATTCGGGGGGGAGTGTTAACCAACGAAAGCATGTATGTATCATGATTTATCCAACACAAATCAGATTTCACCAGCAAATGGGAGTTTTACCAACAAACATGGTGATATGGATTGCTTCTAATCTTAGATACTAATCGCCAAACAAAATCTGATCCCCTTGAATATGGACAAAAAGGACGCAATCAAACGATCCAACCGAAGTTTTTTTTTTTACCCAGTCGGAACAGGAGGATTCAACCATCGGCCCAAATCAAATTGTCATTGGTTAAATATGATTGTTCATCCCACATATTGATCTGGTTGGTGGTATACCTACCCCTCTGAAAAATATGAAAGTCAGTTGGGACGATTATTCCCAATATATGGAAAAAATGATTGAAACCACCAACCAATGATGGTTAAACCATCGAACACCACCAGTTTTCACCATTTTTCGGATGAATGCCCCCCAGGAAACAACGTTTTGGGTCTCCCCAACTGGTCTCCTGAGAGATCTCCGCGTCACTAGGGGGCGCCTGACACCATGGCGCGGCTGAGCCAATGAAACTGCTGGGATTGAGCAACATATTTTTGTTGGTTTAGAAACACAGACAAATATGATTAATGTAACTAAACACACACACACACACATGGTCACATATGGTCACATATGGTCACATATGGTCACATATGGTCACATATGTATATATGTACTGGTGCCAGGAGCTCTTGTCTTGGGCACCTCTATCAAAAGAGTATATGTATATGTATGTATATATCTATATATTTGTATTGATTCATAACTGGTAATGGGGGTGACCTGCAAGAATGAGGTTTTCACCCTCCTGTGATTTACAAGATTGATGATTGATTTTTGTTGGTTGTAACTATTGTATATGAGTAGGGTTTACCCACGGACCTGTGATAAAGATGGGCACAAAAATCGACTGTCCGACCTCCATGAGATGGTCCCGTCCAAGATTGCAAACATAGCCAAGATATCCTATATTATGATTATCCAGCCATATGCCTTGGAATATCATCTATTTTTGGCTATCCAACCCAAAATGAATTTCCCATTTGGATATTTCTAGGGCATTTCAACTTACTATGTTTGATTACCGCAGAGTAAAAAACTATTTCATCTGTGGTCCCCTAGTCGAATCTTTTTGCACCTGAGCAGTGTGGTTTCAGCAATCTTGATTTCTGTCGATTAAGCTCCACAGGGTTCCTGATCAAAAACCCAAACTCCACCGCTTTTGTTGTGATTAAACGATATTAAACTCACACTCTTCTAGTATCCACATGTGGAATCAAATTTCATCCAAATATCCACTTTGAAAGCATGGGGGAGCAAACTTGTTTTTGTGAAAAAAAAACATCAACAACTCTGTGAAAACCTCAAACCCGGGCCTCCAAGGCCACCTCGCCCTGACAAGGTTTGATCAAAGGGGGGATGAAATCCCACAGTGACATATATAGACTATATAGAATATGTAGAATAGATACAATATATGCAATATATATATATATACAGAAAATAAAAGAGATCCATTTCAGGTTCATAAAATAGATCACTGACTCACCTGAAACGTTCGCCATCTTAAGGGATAGTTACCCCTACGAACCCTCAATCCAGTGACCTCTTAGAGAGGTAGTGCATATGAGATACATGCAGGAAAATAAGTGCCATAATGGAATCATATACTATTCTACGGAATGTAGTACAATATGTAATACAATAAATAAATATATATATTATTATATATAATATAAATAAAAGGGACCGAACACAACAAGAAGGGATACAGGGATACATATAGGACATGATAGTATTCAAATAGGATATGGTGGGATACAATGGGATACAATGGGAAATCAAATGCAGGAGTAGGCACCAACTTTGATAGGTGAATTGGTTGAATGAACGCTAACTGCTGGGTTTGAGGTGGATATTTTGCTTTAGCTCATTTAGCTAAGATGGGGCTATAAACTAACAAATCATAACTGGTGGGTAACTTCCTGTAGTATTCTAGGGACTTAGCCATCAAACATCGATAAAATGGGGATAGAATGGGGAGATATGATCCAGAAAAACAACTCCCCTACTTAGATTATACGGCATTTATAATAAAACAACTGGTGATTCAACGGCACAAATTGGGCTTTTGACACCTGATGTTTCCTGATTATCACTGATCGGACCGACAAAACTGGGCTCTGAATTGGTTGTGCTTCGTGGCTTAGTGTTTGTGGGGCAGATTGCATCACTCAAAAAACTGGGATGTAACTATCAAAGAGTATACCCCAGAAAATCTCAAAGTAGTGATTACCCATGTTTACTACGTTCCTCGAACAATGGCTAACTCTCAGGGTGTAGTTCTCAATTATAGATGGCAACATCCTAGTGATGAGTTCATGGTTAACCCATGTTAACTCCCATTCATCTCTTGGCCGGACATGTGACTTTTACATCTGAAAAAAATCCATCCATTTTCCTGGATTCGCTTTAGGAACCACTAAAGAAACACCACTTTTGGATTCCCAGTGGATTCCCCAGTGGTGGATTAACCAATGGGAATCCCCGTCCATGGCTGGAATTTCTCCACCATGGCTCGAGAAGAATTTCCCAACGAAACTCACTCAACTCCGCGAGTTTGAGGATTCCCCTTCGCTATGTTTGACTACAGTTACGGCCATTTATCAATTATATAGCCAGTTATAACTGGTTGTAAATGGGTTATACATTCTATAAATGAGGTTATAAGTACTTATAACTGGTAAAGGGCCATAACTGTACCGGGTCCCATCATATCATCATATACTCCCATTTCTGTGGCGGATGATCCCACTGCATCCCACTGCATCCAAATTTTGGACATCCCACTCTTACCATGCAGCACCATGCCCATGAAATAGAAAAACATGAATAAGAATTTTAATTGTTCACCATATTTAATGGTTAAATCTTTATTTTCCATAGTTTACAGATGATTTTCCCAGCGAACTCAACCTCCATTTGCTTCGAGGATTTCCCCAGATTTCCCGAACACGTTTGATGACTGGAGGGTTTTGTGGTCAAAAATCCCAATGTTTCTTTGTTCCTGAGTAATATCCCATCAAAATTCCATCAAAATTCCCATGGATTTCCCCATTACTTCAGTGTATTTCCATGGCATTTCCCTGGTGAAACCACGTTTTTTTCACCCGCTGCACCTCTGCCCCTCGGGCCACGGAGCGGCAGTTGCGGCAGTTGGGCGCTGGCGGGTGACCTCACGAGGGAAATCGACCGGAGATGTCCGTGACATGGAAGGTGTGGAAGTGGAGAAACATGGCCATATAATATGGGTTTATGGGTTTCATAATTAAATATGGGTTTCCTCTAAATTTTCCCATCATCCAATTTTATGATAGCATATGCAATACCACTGGCGATAATAATAGCCTTAATATATGGATGTCACAGGAAAATACTCTATGGGATCAACATGAAACTAATATAATCTAATATATTCATATAACTTATATCAAATCAATAATTACTTAACTGGTTGGTGGTGCAATAACCATCTTGAAGGATATGAAGGTCAGTGGGATGACATCCATACATCCCATATATTGTGGAAAATAAAAAATGTTTGAAACCATCAACCAGTTTTGGTTTCCCTACAGCTCCAAACACCTTCTGGGACTGTATTTGGAGTTTTTTGGGTCAAAACATCTTCTAAAAGAGGGTATTTGGAGCACTAGGACTTATGAAAGTTTATAAACAATAAGACACATGGATGTGATGGATTTAGATGTGTTTTTCCATTAGTAAGCCATAAATCTATGTACGTATTGGGAACTTATGGTTTATGATGGATTTGTATGGAGATTTATGGTCAATGGTGGATTACTGTATTTGATGGGATGTGACGGGATATTGGGATATCTCTGATATACCAAACAAAAAAGGATCTTGGATTAAATTGGGATTCGCCCTCAGTAATTAATCAAAGATGTAGAAACACCAAACATGACCTACAAACTGTGGGTGTTACAAATCTATCTTAATTTGCTGGACGAATATTTCTCCATGGAAAAACAATGAAAAGAACATCAACTAACGTTACCCCCTGGTAATTTAACATAACTATTGAACATGACCATTTATAGTGAATTGTCACGTTCAAAATGGTGATTTTCCATATTTTTTGTATGTTTCCCAGAGGTAACACATCCAACCGCAACCATGAACACCGAATGCCATGCACCTGGGTAATACCAACGGCTGCGAGAAAGAAACCATTCATTAAAAAAACAATCCATTTACCAACAGTAAATTGGCCATGGCTATTAGTTATAACTGGTTATTTTTATGGGATGAAATAGATTCTATAAATGGGGTTATAAGATGTTATAAGTACTTATAACAGGTATTTCAGGCCATAACTGCAGCCACTCACCATGGAACCAATCGGTTCACCACCGTGGATTGGTTCCTGGCCTACGACGAAAGAAGTGCTAATCCAGGAGCCTGGAGCGGAGTGTCACAAAAAGGCGCCTTGGAAACCGATTTGTGTACCACTGGTACCACCTACCATCACCCACCAAAAAAACCCTAAAGGTTGCACCTCCAACACATAGAAGGGCGTACAAAGTATGGGTTCTTAACCCTAGTGGTTTCCTAAGCAGCCTTAGATACCCATGAAATGCCATGAATGTTGATTTAGACTTGATGTGAGCCATTTTTTTATTGAACGCGCATCGAACATGTCTTTAGACAAATGTTTTGGAACTGTCAACGCTTGGAAAACATATCCATACTCGCTGTCTTGATATGTATTGATAACACAGGAACTCAGCAGAACTATGAATTCAGCAGGAAACATTCGTGCAGTCATGAGCCCCTACTAGTTAAAAAACATCGACAACCCTGTTGAACAGAGGTGGTAAACTAATCCTAGTCTGAAATAGCCCTGAAGCAAAGTCAATCCTGATTTTTATTAAGAAAAACCAATTTTGAACATATGTATATTATATATCATATATAATTACATGTCAACTTGCATGGTGCAGGTGGAATATATAACCACATTAGAGACAAATTAAACACATATATCATACACAGTGTTGTTTTATCCAAACAAATTGGGTGTGTTTGAAAATTGCCTAAATCACCAAATTTGCAACTTTATTACTGTAATCGGAAAAATGGTGATGAACCAATGGATTGAAGGGTACCCATGGGCCATGGGTACCCTGTTTTCAAACAAACCCAAATCATAGAAGTACAGTCATGATAAGATACGCATCATTTTTTCGTTCTGCCGCATTGAGAAAGTTCTCGCGCTGTCATGCGAAATAAATTCTATCAATACAGTCCTGAGTCAACCAACCGTAGCGCAACAGACCTAAGTGGCGAACTACTTTGATATACCATCTGCCATAAATCCCTGGTAAAGTTCACCACCCACTATTTCGACTGGGTCACGGCTTCAATAGCTATGCTATGACATAACCAGAGGGTAAGTCCCGGTTATCTTAAACCATTGGTAATTCAACATAACTATGGAAAATCACCATTTTTAATGGGAAAATCCACTATAAATGGTCATTTTCTCAATAGCTATGTTTGTTTACCGGAGGGTAAACCATAATGTGGTTAAAACATGTTAAAACAATAATAAACCATCCCGCCATCCCGCCTAAAGTCGTCACCACGCACACGGCAGCAAGCCGTAGCGCCAAAGGCGATCGGCAACCGGGCGCCATCACTGTGCCCTGGGGAGATGTCAGTGACATAGGTGGAACAAAAAAATTGAAATGGAGATTTAAGTGTTGAACAATTGGGATTAAGCATGGTTTAGCCCTGAAAAAAAACATGTTTATTGAAACTTATATGAGGATTTACCATCTGGTTATTTAACATAGCCATGGAAAATCACATTTTTTAATAGGTAAACCATCTATAAATGGGCCATTTTCCATGGCTATGTTAAATAACCAGAGGGTAACATGATTTAAGCAGTATATAAACATGGGAATTTCATCGTGAAACATGGCAAAAAAAACCAATCAATCGGGGGGATTGAACCACCTGAGTAACCAGTACCGGGAATTATGGTCCAAACCTTGGGGCGCATATGTATTTATACACCAAAATTGCATACATGGTTGATAGATGAGGGTAACATAAACAAAAACCCGGCGGACTCGTTACCGTCGCGCGACTCTGCAAAAAACATGGTTTGATCTGCACAACAGCTCAGTTTTCTGATTGAAAATTGTCTTAAGCAAGATATTGCGTTTTGTCTCAGGTTGCAACCCTTCCAGTGTTTCTGTGCTTGAAACGAGTCGAATTGCCAGCGTAGCTTTTTCCTTTGTCAGCATTCACAGCTTTGCCAGAGCTTGGCCTGTTTTCACAAGCAAAGACTCTGAACCAAGTTCCCAACGCCATGGTTGGCTGCGGATGTATTCCCACATCAAAGGATTGGCTTTACCATTGGTGTGAGTGCACAGCGTATCAACACCTATGTCACTTCATGCACATGAACCATCAGCAAACATATCAACTCACGTACCACCACAAGTGCACAGCGTATCAACACCTATGTCACGTCAATGAAGATGATCCATGAAGAACACACTATCAAGAACGTTATCACACCCCCCCCACCCCCCCACCCACCCCCTCCGAATCCCCCCCAACCAACACCCAGCGTATCAACACCTATTTCACGTCAATGGAAAAGAATGTTAACGTATTCATGTATATGCCAGCGGGATGTATATGTATATTCATCTATATGCCAACCCCATACCACCCCATCCTCATGTTGTCATGAAGCAAGTAGAAGTGGCGTAACTTACTAACAAGTCACTGACGAAGCAATTGCAACGTACGCTATCACCCCACCCCAACCCCACCCCAAATTCATGGTCCGGTAAACAGTCCGCTAGCATAAACAAGGTATGTACACAAGCAAAATCTATGGGTTATTGGCTTGTACTGGCAATGATTTATGTACTCCAAAGCCGTACTTGGCACGAAGTCGTCGGATGATGTCCAAATACTGATCTTTCCAAGCAAAGCCCTGAAGACTTGAGAGTTGATCAGCATGATTGGCAGCAGTTTCCGAAACGTGCTATTGATCTATTTGACCAAAAAGCTCCCTCTGCCTCTCTGGAAACCCAAACTCTCCAGCTTGCATCTGTGCGATTCCTTCTTCAGCACCATCAGCCACCCGACCGGCCCATCGAAATCGAGCCTGCAATCCAAATTGTTTCTCAACCATTCGGGCATGCGTGACCAATGCTGTTCGGGAGCTGAACTTCAGAGCGCTGGCCATATTAAGAGTGTCCGGGTCCATGCAGTTCGGGCCCCCAGCTCTGGCAGACACGGGTTGCAGTCCCACCACAGAAAATTGCAATTTTCCACCACGGCCTTCTGAAAACAAGACGTGCACATGGATTGGATGTCCGCAAGATGGCGTCACTCCATCGCTGACAGTGACAGAGTCAGAAGGTATCTCCAAAGCAGGCAGGCGGCTGTGCAAATCATGAGCTTGATACCAAAAGGACCGACACATTCCTCCGCAAACATGTTTTTTCCCCACCTGCCAGGTGAGGGTTGTTAGATTTTATCAGAGCGCTCTTCCTCCGCCTCCTCCTCCTCCTCGACTAGCTGTCCTCTTCCTCCTCGTCCTCCTCCTCGCCTCCTCCTCCAGTTTCTCCTCGACCATGTCTGCATCAACTTCCACCTGCACTTCCGCCTTGCCAACTCTTCGCCAAGCTCTTTGCCAACTCTCGTCGCCGACTCTCTGCGCCAAGCTCTTTGCCAACTTCACAGCTCAGTGTGCACCGCTGGACCTCAACCTGGGACCTTCCCAGCTCAGTGTGCACCGCTGGACCTCAACCTGGGACCTGCCCAGCTCAGTGTGCACCGCTGGACCTCAACCTGGGACCTTCCCACCTCAGTGTGCACCGCTGGACCTCAACCTGGGACCTGCCCAGCTCACTGTGCACTGCTGGACCTCAACCTGGGACCTTCCCAGCTCAGTGTGCACCGCTGGACCTCAACGGCCAGATAGAATGCCAGAAGATATGCCAGATAGAATGTCAGATAGAATGCCAGAAGATATGCCAGATAAAATGCAATATGCCAGATAGAATGCCAGAAGATATGTCAGAATATATGCCAGAAGATATGCTAGATAGAATGCCAAATAGAATGCCAGAAAATATGTCAGATAGAATGCCAGAAGATATGCCAGATAGAATGCCAGAAGATATGCCAGATAGAATGTCAGATAGAATGCCAGAAGATATGCCAAGTAAATTGCCATAAGATATGCCAGATAGAATGCCAGAAGATATGTCAGATAGAATGCCAGAAGATTTGCCAGTAAGAAAATGTATAAATGTCATGGTGGGGATCACACAAAGTAAAGTAATTTGGTATATATACATTTCCTCAGCACAAATGTGAGTCTAAGCACGAAAAAAGGGAATCCACTCAACGAATTCAGGATTTGGGGAGGGTAAAATCTTGTGCATAGGGCCGGCACATAGATTCAAACAAGTTTGTGACAGCCACAAACGGCAGTGATGTTGCAAACTGCAGCTCCACAGTCAGCCAACGCTATCCCCACCTATTTTTTTCGGCAGTTCTGATGGGAATATCATAGCTGGAAGCCCTTTCACTTGTAGAGTCAGCATCCTGAATCCTAATGTCAAAACATTAAGCTAGGTATCTATTAAATAATCAACTTTAAAATATGGGAATCTAGCATCCTAATGTCAGCTATCCTGAATCATTTATCTTTCAGCGGATTCTTGATTAAGAGCCAACATAGAACATTCAGGCCTATGCAAGGGAAATATACTGACCCAAAAAAAAGATCAAACAAGTATGGCCGTTTATGTCATAAGTGGGACTGTACGTCAATTTTGGGTAGCTATGTCATTAAACATGGGTAGATCACCACCAAAAATTGGTACACTGGAGACGGGGTTTTCGGTGTCTGGAAGCGACAATGGTCAACGTTCGGCTGGCTGGCCAGAGTGGACAAAGATAGATGCTTCTTCGGTAAGCCCCATAATCTCCATCCAAGAAGAGGATCTCCATGGGTTCACCAGTGGGCTTTGAGGACTTTTTGTTGGACATATGGAGTGGTTACTTTCCAAGCGCATGCCAAAAAAAAAACAAGAAAATAGGGGGGTTCTTAAGTCATGGGAGAACCCCAGTCGTCACCATAGTTGTTGAAAAATACTTTAATGGTGACTAATACTTTCAATACTTATCATACATGTCGACAATCTTAGTACATGGGGATCTCCCATGACTTAAGATCCCATATTTTCATCATGGGGATGCATCCCCTTGGATCGGAGCCGCTCCCTACCGCGATGGTCGTTCCCACCGCGCCTCTCTACTGGTCGTTCAACCACCGTGCGGTGCTTTGAGCCAAGTGCCACCGTGCGGTTCGATGGGTCCAATCTCCATCATGTTGGATCAAGTCATGTCTGACAGATACCGCATGTCTCCAGTATATCTAGGTACAAGTTTATAACAAATAATATATGACTTGATGTTTGAAAAATGTGTGTAACAAATGTAAAATGCAACAGCTATATGCAATGTTTAGATACTTGGATTCCATTAGTTATATATTGATTGCACCATTCCATTCCCTTTCGCTTCAGCCATGGATAATTCTGCATATCCTTCACAAAGAGCTGCAACCTTTAGCTGGCGAGGGAGTGCATATCCCAAAGAGATGGCAACAACAAAAAGACACAGTTTTAACGATTTCCACAAATCCATATAACAATGTAACCATCAAATCATATATTGTATAAATTATACAAAATCATATTAAATCATAATTTCCCATGTAACCCCAAAACACCAGTCAGTTTCCCACCACACGGCAACGCGGCAACGACAGGCAACGGAACGTCGTGATGCGGCAAATTCCGAGAGCTCCTTGGTGAGATAGTAATCCACCGTTCGCAGGAACTTGTTGTGAGCCTCTTTCACCTGCCATGAGGAACTATGCAGCGGACCCAAAAGTGAATTGACAAGGTGGAAACTATATGAACATAGGTTAAGATTGTCTATGACATCTTGGAAGAAGAGCTTTCTGTTTTGGGGTGGTGATATCATAATTATCATGTCATATAAATCATGGGTCAATGAAATTTAATTCAGGAAGAACATATAAGAACACAATCAGAAGTAATGTTGCAAACCCAATAATAAACCATCCCCCAATCACCATTTTTATAGATGGTATGTTTACCATTCCCAAATGAGTGGTTTATTATTGTTTTTCCCACAGTAATGTGGTAAACCCAATAATCAACTGAGCAGTGCTCAAAATCCCTCTATCATTCCATTTAATCCTGGCTGGTTTACAGGGATTCCCCGTTTTTGGATTATTGTGATCCCCAATATATAAAGGGTAGTAGAAACCCCAAACTAATCATCAACCAACCATCATTTGTTTGTTATATATCATTTATATTCACATTTTAATCCCCATATGTTCATGGTTAATTTCCCATTTAAATATCTTTAAATTGTATACATTATAATCATCAACCAATCTTCCATAGAGCTGTAGCTCGTGAGTACACCGGTACCCCTACTGGTCAATTCGGGATGATCAATCTTATGGCCCGAAATAACAATTATAAGTACGAACAAAAGCCCATAGAATGTATCATCCCATAGAAATAACCAGTTATAACTTATAAATAATTGATAGACGGCCAACATTCTATGATTGCGTTGTTGCACTTGATCACTTTAAAACCGGTCTTCAACAGTAAGATCAAGCAAAATTCTGAGATCAGGGTCTGAGATCAGCGGTATCGAGTGTGAAATGTGCCGAAGTCAACACCAGACCCTTAAGCCACTGGAGATATATGGAGATATGATACGGTGGATGGTTGAGAAATCCTGCACCAGTTGATAAGTGGTAATCATCCCATTATTTTGTTGGGGTTTCAACCATCCTTTTGGTGGTGCAGGATTTCTTCCAGCCACAGTATCTCAAAAAGCATTTCATGAGGTGATATGTTTTTTGTCTGCACGGTATTGCACCTTTTTCTCGGACGCTGCCAGTTTTGTCTGGGTGAGACAAGTGAGACTCTGTCATTTGAATTCGGCTCGTCAGCTTTTCTACACTGGCATCGGACTCCACTACTAGCCGGGGGAAGAACGAGTATTGACGATAAAGAACTCATCTAAACCAAACTTGCACACATAGTGAAACACCAGAAACGGAGAATAAAAACCAGCAATCAGTTGAAATCCCATATTTTGACAGCTTATACAACCCATTTAATATCCGTGTGTGTTAAATTTGGGAAGGGTTTATTATTAAATGTGATTAAATCAATAGTAATGTTTACTGACATCTTGTATAGATATATATATATTTGTAACTTGGGGATGGTTTATCAACCAACTTCTTCTTCTGCTTCGTTCCCATTTCCCTGGCACCAACTGACAGCGCATTTCCAGCTTGCGCTCACCTCAGCTGACGCGGCCACGGGGCGAAGAAGGGACGGATCCATTCTGAAACCTTTGGGATGGAAACCACGGATGGAAAACTCATCCCATGTTTATGGAAAATATGAACATAAGTATGGGATAAGTTTGAATTCGGTTTGACAACTAGGGATACGTATTCATACTAGTCAAATATAAAAACCAAGAACCTGTCCTTGTTTCAATACTAATCTAATCATTCATTGAAATGTTGTAACTATGGATTAGTAGTGATTAGTATTGAAACTGCCAAGCAGCAGATCGGACCTTCTTGTTGCAATTAACATCAATTATTTGTTTTTTTGTTTCAACATGTGTAATACTTGGCTGTTATGTAACTGGTTGGTGGCTGCAACCATCTTGAAAATATTAGTCAATGGGAAGGACTATCCTATATATATTGTGGAAAATTCAAGCCATGTTTGGAACCACCAACCAAGTAATTATTTCATGGCTAATTTTAGATACCCTGCAATTTAGCCTGACAGGATTTTTTTACCCCCATGGCTCGAAAGGCTGAAGTAACTCCTGGGTCAAAAACACTGCTACCCCTCTGTTCACACCACAATAGCTGCTAGTTGGTTATGGATGATCATCCAAAAAGAAAAAGGTCTTTCAATGTATTTCATTTGTTTTCATCTATCCCTGGGTATTCCATTGTCTTCCCCATGATATTCCCAATTTGATTTGTATGTTGGTTCGGTAAGTCTCCATTTCCCCCCGATACAATCTGTTCAATCTGCCATGTTTACTGGATATTCCAGACTTTTACTGCAAAAAACTAAAGTTATTGCTCACCAAGGCCTACCCAAGGAAAATGCACCAATAACGTTAAATTCGTGTACTATCCCCAAGGATGGTTTGGTGATGTTTAGTACTCCCTGTACTCCCCGAAGTTTACTACTCAAATGGAGGTTTCCAAAAGTCATGTGAGTTGAGTTACCCCCTCCAAGTCAGACCATGTCCTGTGGTGACTTGGGGATCCCCCATGACTTAAGAAACCCCCAAGTCACGGTGAATCTTAGATCCCTGGCAAGAGACTAAGTTTTAGCTGGTGAAAGTACATTTTACCATTCATAGCAAAAGATTGAAGTGCTAGTAACAGTATCTAACCAGTCGGTTGACCCAGGAATATCCCCAGTGATGTTGACTAAATCATCCCATCACAAAGTCCCATCACAATGGACATCACCACCACGTGCCGCGCGCCAAGGTGCTGGAAGATGGCAGCGAACTCGCGGTAGTCCAAACGCCCGTCCTTGTCCTTGTCCCACTCCTGGCCATGATACGAGGGAAATCTGAGGAGCACCTTTAACTTGTATGGTAATATGAGCCATGGTCAATACTCACTATATGGTCGATGGTCATCCCATCCATAATAAGGATCCTTATAATGGTTATTCTAAATCCCATTAAATCACCATTGGATGACTAGCCCCGTTTTTAATGGTTATTAACCATGAGTATTGACCATAGCTCATTACTGGGGCTTTCCTGAAATGGGTGATCCCCAAGTCACCATATAGTTACCTATGTCATGGTCATCCATGACTTGGATGACTTGGATGGCTCGGCTAACTTAGTCATGGTGGATTTAACAAACAAAGTTATGGCAAAGTACAAAACCAAACCATCAATTTTAAGGAGAGTTTTCCAGAGGAGAACAACCCCAGTCCCCTCAAGTTTTGGGTTCTTAACTTGACTCCGATTGCCAATTATGTACGCACACGCAATCCCCCCAGAATATGGTTTGTAATCTGATATATTACCTACAGTGTACTTCCTATATGTATATTTATATACAGTGTATATATATATATAATTATACATATTGTGGTATGCACCTCCAAACAGGTTTTGACCAGTGCAAGTGCAGCTAGTTCGATGATTTCTCAACAATGTATATATGATAAATGTCGGATATCACATCAAACTCATCTAACTTCTTTCAAAACGTGAACTTATTCTAGCCAAATTTCACAACAAATCGCACTCTGCAAAATGCTGCAATATTGAATATTTTGATGCCTCGCTTTACCCGACACCGCACCAATCGTTGCCAAAATGCAAAATGAAAATGGCAAGCTACTTTCCCTCTGACATGCCATATACATATAGAAAGTGTACATATATATATATATATATGTACACACACATAAGCTTTTGGTGGCATCTTCTACTCCGATTCTTGAACACTTACCTAAAATACTTTAGGGCACCCCCACCCTGACCACCAGCATCAGTGATGTCCTCAATGAGCTTCTCGATTTTGATGGTCATGCCAAATTCATCCTGCACGCTTCACCGGAATCCACGGCGTCCAACAACCATCGGCCCATCGGCCCTTTTTAGGTCTTCTTAGTCGTCTGCCCTGGGAAATCTATGGAAATCTATGGAAATCTCAGATAACCCGATAACCCTGAGGGATATTTCAAGAAAAACACGAGTGGGATAGGTTTGTCTTGTGCGACTGAAAACACGTAACCAATGACTGAAACCAACCCTGTGAGGCTGCGGAAAAAAGGTCTCCCCAGCAACTCTTCGCCTCCCCAGAGACCCAGGAGACCCAGGAGACCCAGGACGCAATCCGAAAAGGACAAGGTGCGTGTTTGTATACATGGATAGTATAGCCTCAATAACAAATGGTGTTTTACCTACTATGAAATCTCCCTATTTTTATTGGAGTTACACTGGTCATGTTACACACCCCTAACCAGCTTCGATCCTTGACCACCTGGATCAAGCGCTGGGTGTCGATGTAACCAGTCCTTAGAGATTGCGTCTGTCCGAAATACAGAGGGGGATTGATCCGTGGATTTTACAATGGAAAAAACATGTGGATTTGACACATATGCTATAAAAAATATGTTTTAAGATGTTTGAACCATTGAATTCTGCTGAATTCTGTGTGGGGGTCCCTGTTTCATTGACAAACACCAACCTGTGCCTTTACCACTTGTCGTCGATGCAAGTACCAGTGGTCATTCAGGATATGGCAGCGTCAACTGGTGCCCCAGAGTTAGCGAAGTTCGAAAAAAATCGCGAGGTGAGCTGAGGTTCCACGGCGAAACTTCTATCCATGGGTTAACCAAATTCCGTCTCACAAGTCTCACACAGTTACGGCCATTTATCAATTATATAGCCAGTTATAACTGGTTGTTTCTATGGGATTATACATTCTATAAATGGGGTTTTGTTAGTACTTATAACTGGTATTTCGGGCCATAACTGCAAGCATCAAAAAATGCCTGAAATCGACGATTTATATGCCGGAAGGCCGAAACAGCAGTATCACCTTCCTCAACGGGCACGCCGAAATGCCCTGAAAATTGGTGGCAAGTTGTCACGTTTTTTCAACAAAACCTGAAGATAATTTTGGTGATAGGTTCCATTGTATTTTACAATATAATCATTGTATACATAGATATAAGGTGTATATATATATATATATACCCATACATTTTATCAGATATAGATTACTTATTGCTCTGGCCTCTTTCTGTGTTAGGGGCCAAAGCCTCCCAGGATCTATGTGTAGAATCCTAGGAACTATTTACAGAATCCCAGAAACTATTTATAGAATATTCCAATACTTCCAATAATAAAGATCCATTAATATAGATCCAATAATATTCCAATAATCTAATATCTCGTTATATCCCACTATGTTCCTGCATGTTACGAGTGCTGGTTATATTCAAAAAAACATGCGGTCAACGTAAACACATACACGATCAGCAAAATGACATTTCACGAAATGGGTTTGTCTGAAAATAGTGTATATTCCCCTATGTACCAATGGTTCATCATCATTTTCATTTTTCCTATGAAATGGTAAAAAAATGATTGTATAGCATTTAAGGATGTTCATTTTCCCCATATACCATGTTCATGTTCCCAGTGGTAAAATATCCTATGTACCAATGGTTCATCCTCATTTTCAAATTGCAATTGTGAAAATCGCGGAAATTACATAGGTTACCTTTTGTATGGCAATCATATGGTTCATTTTCCCTAAGCATATGAAAGAATCCTCAGAATCCCATGGGACGATAGTTCATATGGGTTTGTCTGAAAATAGTGTACCCCCAAACCCAACGGTTCCTCATCATGTTCAAGCACAATGAATCAGAATTTCAGGACCCTAAAATGGAGGTACTATACCATACAAAGCCATCATCATTTTCATTTTCCCTATGGAATGGAAAAAAAACAGCGATTGTATAGCATTTATGTTGTTTTTGTTTTTTTAAATCTATACCCTATAATTTTCCATATCATGTTCATTTTCCCTATGAAATTGCAAAAAAAATGATTGTATAACATTTATGAAATTGTCATTGTATACCCTATCATTTTGCATACCATGTTCATTTTCCCCATTAAATGTGGGAACCGATGACTTCTGAAATACCAGTTCATATGGAAATACCATATGGTTCATTTTCCCTATGACATTCCCACGATATTTCTCTGGTTGGTGGTATACCTACCCCTCTGAAAAAATATGTGTTCGTCAGTTGGGATGATTATTCCCAACTGAATGGAAAAATAAAAGCAATATATGGAAAATCATAAAAGTCATGTTCCAAACCACCAACCAGATTGTAAACGATCACTTTCAGCTATTTCTGCGAGCTGAAATGGTATCCCGGTCCATCATATTTTCCATCATTTTTTATGTTCATTTTCCTTACCCATAGGATCCATGTATGCTATATATGGTAACATGGATCCCATCAATATAACCCAAATGTTAGCATATATACCATACATGGATCCTATGGGTTATGTTCACACTATATTTCTACATGGCTATAATTCTGGGTCCCCCTCAGACCATGCGGCTTGTCAGGTTCACCTCCCAACGCCACGAAGGCATCGATGGTGTCCAGCTCATCTTCCAGTTCCTGGTGGGAGGATTTTACCATCAACATTTGGTGAAAATTGGGATTTAATCATCAAAAATGTTGAAAAAATGTAATTTAACTGGTGAAAATTAAGATTTCATCCTCAAAAAATGATGAAAAGTGGGGATTTACCTTGATTTAACCATCCAAAAAATGGCGAACATAGAGGATTTACCCATAGGAATATGGTGAGCATGTGGATTTAACCATCAAACCATGTGAACATATATGAACATATATGGTTTAAATTTTGGAAATAGGAATTTGACTCTACTTAACCAACGCTTTGGTTGTCTCTGAAATGAGGGATTTGCAAACAATATCTTGCCAATTCCAATAGGGAAAACAATGATCAACTATTAAACCATGAGCAGTAAATTTTGGGGCGTTCCATGTTAAGACCATGTGGCTCTGAAAGTGGCCGCCCACAGCTATAAGTCTATAAGTTGGGTTATAGAGACACCCACCAGAACTCCACTTTTTTCAGTTATACACCCACTTAACTTACCTATCTAAGAACCCCCGTCACATGTATATTCGTAATGCAGCCAGCTGGCACCCCAAAATGGGGATGACGATACTGGCTAGCAAAAACATCCTAAGATCGTGATCGTATCACCATGATATTTGCCAGTACCAGGACCACATTGTCACATGGAAAGGCTGAATTGAAACGCGTTCCTGTGTGATGTATGTGCAAGCTCTGTGGTATACCGGTTTTGTCCAAAATTAAGGTCCCAAAAAAATCCGCTGGTGAATTACTCATTCTCCCATATATAACCATTCATTTGGGGGGTATACCTCAATTTTCAGACCCCACAAAGTTGGGGATATACATGGCAGCGGCATAGATCCCACAGAGGGGCCAAGGATTTGTCAAGGTCAAACTCGTTTTCCCACTCAAAAAAACTGTATATTGCGAGCATCCCTATCATTTGGACAAACCCGGATACAATTTTGGTTAAAGTATAGATATACTGCTATATCACTAGACGACGGATGGCCCGAGAGCGTAGAGGAGCAGAGTCTTCTGTTGTTAGTATGGAGACACGCTTTTTACACACAGGCTCTTTTACACACAGACGCTTTTACACACAGAAGCTTTTACACACAGACGCTTTTACACACAGACCCTTTTACACACAGACGCTGTTACACACAGAGACTTTTACACACAGGCGCTTTTACACACAGAAGCTTTTACACACAGACGCTTTTACACACAGACCCTTTTACACACAGACGCTTTTACACACAGACGCTTTTTACACGCAGGCGCTTTTACACACAGCTTTTACACACAGACGCTTTTACACACAGACCCTTTTACACACAGACGCTTTTACACACAGACGCTTTTACACACAGACGCTTTTTACACAACACTTTCACACGCAGACGCTTTTACGCACAGACGCTTTTTACACACAGGCTCTTTTACACACAGAGACTTTTACACACAGAGGCTTTTACCCGCAGAGACTTTTACACACAGACGCTTTTACACACAGAGACTTTTACACACAGACGCTTTTACACACAGACGCTTTTACACACAGACGCTTTTACACACAGACACTTTTACACACAGACGCTTTTTACACACAGACGCTTTTTACACACAGACACATTTGACACACAAACACATTTACACACAGAGGCTTTTACACACAAACACTTTTACACACAGACGCTTTTACACACAGACGCTTTTACACACAGACGCTTTTACACACAGAGCTTTTACACACGCTTTTACACACAGAGAGCTTTTACACACAGAGCTTTTACACACAGACGCTTTTACACACAGAGGCTTTTACACACGCAGAGACTTTTACACACAGAGCTTTTTACACACAGACACTTTTACACACAGAGGACACTTTTACACACAGACGCTTTTACACACAGAGACTTTTACACACAGACGCTTTTACACACAGACGACACTTTTACACACAGACGCTTTTACACACAGCTTTTACACACACGCTTTTACACACAAACGCTTTTACACACACACGCTTTTACACACAGACGCTTTTACACACAGACGCTTTTTACACACAGACACATTTGACACACAAACACATTTACACACAGAGGCTTTTACACACAAACACTTTTACACACAGAGACTTTTACACACAAACACTTTTACACACAGACGCTTTACACACAGACGCTTTGACACACAGACGCTTTTACAGACAGACGCTTTTACACACAGAGACTTTTACACACAGAGACGCTTTTACACACAGAGACTTTTACACACAGACGCTTTTACACACAGACGCTTTTACACACAGACGCTTTTACAAACAGAGGCTTTACCCGCAGAGACTTTTACACACAGACGCTTTTACACACAGAGACTTTTACACACAGACGCTTTTACACACAGAGACTTTTACACACAGACGCTTTTACACACAGACACTTTTACACACAGACGCTTTTACACACAGACGCTTTTACACGCAAACGCTTTCTACACACAGACGCTTTTACACACACGCACAGACGCTTTTACACACAGACGCTTTTACACACAGACGCTTTTACACACAGACGCTTTTACACACAGACGCTTTTACACACAGACGCTTTTACACACAGACGCTTTTACACACAGACTACACACAGTTTTTGACGATCGGTGCTTTTACAACACAGTTTTTGACGACGCTGTTTACAAGTAAAATCGCAATTTTTCCTCACGATCGACCCTCATTTCGTGCGAAAGGGTTGTTTTAGCACAAGTAAAATCGCAATTTTTCCTCAGTTTTTGACGATCGACCCTCATTTCGTGCGAAAGGGTTGCTCCGGGACAAGTAAAATCGCATCGCACTTTTACCTCAGTTTTTGCCGATCGGCCCTCATTTCGTGCGAAAGGGTTCCTCCAGGACAAGTCAAATCGCAATTTTACCTCAGTTTTTGCCGATCGGCCCTCATTTCGTGCGAAAGGGTTGCTCCGGGACAAGTAAAATCGCACTTTTACCTCAGTTTTTGCCGATCGACCCTCATTTCGTGCGAAAGGGTTGACGTTTCGTGACTCGCCGCCGGCACCACCCTCGGCCTTAAGAGAGAAAGATAAAAAGAAGGCGAGAGAGAGAAAAAGGAGAGAGAAAGGAGAGAAGATGTGAAGGTGAGAAGATGTGAGAGAAGGTGTGAAGATGAGCAGACGTGAAGATGAGCAGATGTGAGAGAAGATGTGAAGATGAGCAGATGTGAGAGAAGATGTGAGAGAAGATGTGAAAGAAGATGTGAGAGAAGATGTGAAGATGAGCAGATGTGAGAGAAGATGTTAGATGTGAGAGACGGTGTGAAGATGAGCAGATGTGAGAGAAGATGTTAGATGTGAGAGAAGGTGTGAAGATGAGCAGATGTGAGAGAAGATGTGAAGATGAGCAGATGTGAGAGAAGATGTTAGAGAAAATGTGAGAGAAGATGTGAGAGAAGATATGAAGAAAGATGAGCAGATGAGAGAAGATGTGAGAGAAGATGTGAGAGAAGATATGAAGAAAGATGAGCAGATGAGAGAAGATGTGAGAGAAGATGTGAGAGAAGATATGAAGATGAGCAGATGTGAAGATGAGCAGATGTGAGAGAAGATGTGAAGATGAGCAGATGTGAAGATGAGCAGATGTGAGAGAAGATGTGAAGATGAGCAGATGTGAAGATGAGCAGATGTGAAGATGAGTAGATGTGAAGATGAGAAGGTGAGATACAGACCCCCACTATTGGAAGAACCCTGCGCTCAGACGCTCTCGGGAAAAAGAAAAATCCAATGTTGCTGCCAATATAATGCTATACTACATAATTATATGTAATATATATATATACATATAGATTACTGTAGTTGTTTTCAGTGTAAGTACCAAAATTTCAGCAAACTAGGCAGTTTAAATTCATTTTTCTTGCTGAAACTGTTTCCTGACATGGGGGGTACAGTGAAACCACTGTTTAACTGTTTAAGAACCTACTGCAAGAAGAACTTCAAGGGCTGGATTGCTGGATTCAACCCTCTCTCAGCAAATTGCAATATGAAGCCTAGGGTACCCTGGACTTCTAGCCGCTGGTTCTTCTTCCCCTTTAACGGGTATCAATATACCAAACATTAATTATTAGCAGCTATTTACGAAAAAAAAAGTCCACCGCGGAACTTCCATGCCGGGGACAAATATGGTGTAGCCCCAGGACAATCCGAGCCCTTACATGGTCACCAATGCTGATGTTGACAGCTTCAGCTAGATACCAGCCAGACACACTGTAGGTCATCTGACCTCGGAGGCTGCCCTTGGCTTGTCTTGGCTTGCCTTGCCTGTGATGCATTGTTTCGGGCGCTCCAACCCCGAGAAACTTTTCGGAGCCTAAAAAGTATTGTTCTTCCCCCCGCCTCCTTTGCAACCTAATACCACGCCTAAATAAACTTTCAAGCCCTGGCATGGTGGAATATCTGGCCTATACTTTGTTTGGAATGCATCTGAAAAAACTTTTCGGGACCTAAAAAGTGTTTTTCTTCCACCCACCTTTGCAACCTAACGCCAAAATAAACTTTCAAGCCCTGGCGTGGTGGAATATCTGGCCTATACTCTGTTTGGAATGCCTGCACCTGAAAAACTTTTTGGGGCCTAAAAAGTTGTTTCTCTCCGCCGCCTCCTTTGCAACCTAATACCACGCCAAAATGAATTGGCAAAACCCTCACCATATGAAACCCTTAAGAACTAACCCATTAACAACTTGAGGGTACCCTCGTTCATAATTCCCATATTTTCCACGTATAGCACTTAAGAATCCCAGGGTAGGCTGGAAAATTCTGAATCGGTTCTTATCCAACGGTTCCGCTGTACCCCTAAATCATCCAATTAATAATAGGATTAAAAAAAAACATCCATTTTTGGGGATTCCCAATTTATGGAAACCACGATATTCCCCATTTTTCTGAACGGTTATAGAATATTATGAGTAACAGTCTATAATCTATACACACATATATATATATATACACTCACCCTAGTTTTCTTGGTTCTAAGATGTTATAAGTACCATCTCCGCCCGTTTTTGATTGGGCCAACCTCAAAGCGTCACGCCTCGCAGCCCGTCGCACCCCGTCGCCGGTCCTGTGCACCGCCTCGCTGCTTTTCGAAGGCGCGCAGGAACTCGGCGAACTCGATCTCACCGGTCCTCGGGGACGGGAAGCTCGGGTCCCACTGGGATGATTTACCCTCTGGTTATGACTAACATAGCTATTGAACATGGCCATTTATAGTGGATTTACCCATTGAAAATAGTGATTTTCCATAGTTTTTTGTATGTTTACCAGAGGGTAGATCCATGGTTGATGAGTTAAAAAAGGGAAGAAACCATGGATCTACATCATCCCAGTGGATAGTTACCCTGCAGTATCCATGATCTACCTGCAAAAATTGTTTGATCTAGAAGAAACCACACATATGAAAAATCAGATCTAGTGTTATTAATCCAAGTTACATGGCCAATTCTGAATCATCTTAAAAACATAGAGTACATATATCATTGCCAATCTTAGATACCCTGCAAACAAATAAATTCTTTGCTGGTTAGTAGATATTCCCATTGATACCAAAAGACTCAAGGATTAAAGTACCCATCTAAGATTAACCTAGAAATCTGGGAAACGATATGACACCTAATATGATGATAAACCAGCGTTCGTGTGTTTTTTGGGTACCAATTTTATGATTCAACTTGGTTCAGCCAGCTTAATCATCCTCTCTCCCTACTACTAGATCACCCCCCCAAATGGTAAACACGGTGACCTACTTTTCTTATTAGGGGGTATTTTGTATTAGGGTGCCCCAAACATTCCAATGAAAAACCCTGTATAATAATAGAAATACAAAAACTTGATTTCAAATTTGATTAAATCCCTTATTAAAAAATCTATATAGTATAATATATAGAATCTTGACAGAAACTGGATTTCGAAGCTTTCCCCTAATATTCCAATGAAAACCTTAATGATAAAAATAAATAACTAAAAGTGCGAGATGGGACCCTAATAAAAAACTTCCAGGTGGCAATCTATTTTGATTAATACAGTAGGGGGTTGAACCCATTGTTTCACCATCCTGTTCTCCTATTGATTTTCAATTATATACCACAATTAAGAATCCAATTTAGTGCCCAACCAAAAAAAAATGGAAGTGCCACACCAATCATTTTTTCTAATTTGGGGGAGTTTTAGTAGGAAGAAGGGGTTATATTGTTCAAGAGAACTGATCCAACCAAACACGTCAGATGGTGATGGCTTGGCGAACGGTGATGGTGGTGTTTCTATGGGTGGATACCCACGTTTCGTTTTAAACGTGGAAACAGCTGGAAAATCCCCCAGAAAAAAATGGTGGGACTTTCCAGGACTTTCCATGTTTGAGACTGATGACCTGCAAGAGAATCATAGGTAGTTAATATAATCTGCAAACATATGGGGATGGGTCAAAACCTTGTACCCCTATGGCAGTGTGTCAAAACCCTGGTACCCCTTTTGTTCACATCAAAATAGCTGGGATTTATGGATGTTCATCCCACTAAAAATGGTATTAATAGGTATTGATCCATACCCATATATTCTGCAAACATATGTTCTTTGGGTCTAAATATGTCTAAATGCATGACAAATTGTACATGATTTGACGAGCTTCCCTCTGAAAATGCTACTGATATGTACTGATCATCTTTGGGTTCTGAATGGTTCTACTTTCTTGGCCCAACATTAGAAAGTGGATACAAAGCACGTTTCCTCCCCTTCCCCTATCATCCCCTATCTACGGACGAAATCTCCATTCTTATTGATTAAATCAAGCATCGGTTGAGCATGGGAATACAAAAATGCAATCTTCAGCCAACCGCCAGCATGTTTAGGTTTTCCCTCTTTGCTTGTGAAAATATACAGAGTTTCTTGGTGAACATTGGCCATGGTTCATGTTTTGCCCCCCATCAAACTGGGACATTACTGTAGAATGCACAAACAAAGGAAATGAACGCTTTCAGGATTAATCCCATCCCCCCAATATGAAACACCCCCGTTGTTTGATCCCAAAATGAGTCGTTTCATCCTCTATTAGACCATGGTTTCTGGGGCGTGTTGAAGGTAGGGGATGAGATGAATCCGAGCTGGTCAGTTATATCTGTATATCCCCATGAACATCCCATGAAATCACCATGAAGCTCGATGATTTTGATGATTTTCCCCATGGAAATCCCAAGAAAATTTGAAAATTCATCCTATCAATTCATATTATATGTAAATTAACAAATAATCAACATGTTTCATGTTTCAACCTGAAACAGTTTTTAGAACCCTAAACCCATTTCCCTTTTCACGTTTTTTTTTCACGATCGCAGCACCTGGGATGCCCCGACCCATCTTCATCGACATCTGCCATGAACCGAAAGAGTTCTTCTTCACTGGGCGCCTCCAGTGTGACGGGATGACCATTAGGGATCAGGCAGTTGACTTCATGTAATAACAAAGATTTATGTTAATGTATTATATAATGTTATATATATATGTTTTTTGATATCATAGTATATCATTGTTATTACATCAATATACATATAGATATAGTATTTTCAGATCATGGTAGATCTATTATATATAATACATATATTAATATCATATATATATATATATTATATTCATGTATATCTATGTATATCTATGATATGTAAACTTGTAGAACCTTTGTTTTTACAGTATACATAGTACACAGTCTATCAGTCTATAGATTTATTAAATAACACACACATTATTATGTATGCAGGCTGATTAATGGCATGACTCGTGCCCATACCGCATTGTTGGTCAAACATGTGTTCGCCATTGAGTGAAACATTCCTATATCAATCTTCCAGGTTGGTTGGTTTACCATGCTTCACCACGGTTCACGGGATTTTACAAGATCATATGCCGTGTCTCGCCCTTGTTGGTATTCGTCAAGGTTGCATGGTTTTCCCAGATCCTTGGTGATCCAGAAGGCAAATCCATGTGAAGGTCGAAAAAAAAAACAAAATTAAAATAAGGTTCATGACTGTCCCATATTTTCCCCTTGTATACAGTATCAAAACATCCATTTACTTCGGGAATGTCCATTTCGGTGACATCAGCATCATCAGCATGGCGAAAATCCACTATTTCTAATGTGGTTAAAACAATGCCATCACCCATCCCCCCAGTCATCACCATTTTTTTTATAGGTGCTATGGTGCCCCCCATTCCCAGTCATGGGTCACATTATCACATTACATCTGGGTAAATTATGATATTTCACTAACCTGAATCTTGCGGCCATTTGGGGATGATTTCCCTAAAATAAACCATGATTCCAGTGAGGGAGAACAGTGAGGTCGTGATCAAATTTACCCAGAAAACCATGGATTTTCCCATTCCGTTAGGCCCACTGAGCAAAGACGTGTGCCTCGCCAATGGCTTCCAACAAGAGCTTCATCTCCTGCCAGATCTCTTGGGTTTTATGGTAGGTATCCTCTGGTTTAATGGAGGTTTAATGGAGCTTTAATGGGATTTAATGGGATTTAATGGGATTTAATGGGATTTATATATTGGGATGTAGTGAAATTTAATGTTATACCCTCTGGTAATTTGTTACATAACTATTGAACATGGCACATAGAAGTAATTAGTTGATTTACCTATTAAAGATATTTAAAGTTGGTGATTTTCCATAGCTATGTAAAAGTTTACGAGAGGGTAATGGGGGTTATAACTGGGGGGGTCAGTTTGCGGCACGAGGAATCTCAGTTGAATTCACTATTGCACGGGGGTTGAGATTAGTAAAGGTCGTTTTGGAGCTTCAGTTTTTGGATCTTCGCATCTTCAATTGCACAATCATTGACAAGTGTGTTGATGGGGAATTTGATGAAAATTGTCCTTGTCAAGTTAGATTGCTGGGTGTCCATTAATATGTCATTGTTTCAACGGACAAACCCTCAAACCGCAACGAGTCTGGACTATCGATGGGGAAAATGGGAAGGATTCACACCTGAGGTCGCGGCCCGACAAGACTTGATCGACTTGATCTCAGGCGGTGAAAACTTGTAGCTTAACAGAAGAATGCAAAAAGATTTGAATCAAAAAATCTACCCTCTGGTAATTTGTTGCGTAACGATTGAAGCCATGGCCCAGTCGAAATAGTGGATTTACCCATTAAAAACGCATGGTGATTTTCCATAGTTTTTGGTAAAAGTTTACCAGGCCGGGTAAACCCCCAATCAAAGATGGCCTTGCTGGAAAATCCCCATGGATGAAATGAAGCCCTGCGAGCCATTGGCACCATTGGCATTGATCCTCACCAGTTCCTCTGGAATCACCCCACTGGCCATCATGGCCATGTATAATGACCACCTTCTGTAATGTTTAAGAACCACAGTGGTGTGAAAAAACAAAAGGAACCGCTATTCATGATTTATCATGATAATGCCTGACATAAAAAAAAACACCGGCTCCTGTGATGCCTGACACTTTGAGCACTCAAGCAACCCTTCAACATCTCTGATATTCCTATCAGTTGTCATCTGCAGAAATCTCAACAATTTCTAGAGTAGAAGTCTGCGCCATGCTGGAAAGGATTCCATTCATCAGTAATCCTTATCACCGATTCGACGACCTATGGCTGTGGTTGGCCAGTGGTCGCAGCAGTGACATAATTTACCAAAGCATTATATAATTAATAGTTCACTGTTGCAAAACACCATGGTCTCATAAAACCCCGGCTTGGTTCTATCAAACTTCCATTCTGATGTTAATGGATATCATCCATAATCCCAGTTTATTCCCCTTAAGGTTCCATTATGACGTGCGAGACAAACCCATACAGTTATGGCCCTTTACCAGTTATATGTAGTTATAAGTATAACTTATAACGCCATTTATAGAATGTATGATCCCGTTTATAACCAGTTATAACTAGTTTTAACTGATAAATGGCCATAACTGTATGACATCGCTGTCTGAATATGTCCTGTGTGTCAATGGTGCCGCTGCCATCTTGGTCAAAGGTATTGAAGGCCTGACCAGCGACAACTTGTGCCGTGCCAATGAATAATGGTATGGGTCTGACCAGAAATTGGCATTTGAATACCCAAACAGTGAATCATACTGTGAATAATACCCATTACTATCATACAACGAAGAATACCCCAAAACTGGCATTTTAATACAGAAGAATTAAGATAGATCATGGGATTTAAAGGTATACTCTACTTTCAGACCCACCCATTTGTCGGGACAACCGATTTGGTACAGCTTTCACCACGGAGGCTTTGAGGTTCCAGCCATCCAGGACTGCTGAAAAAGCGACCCGGCGACCCGAAAAACCGCCAATTTCCTCTTGAACACGAAAAGGACATGGATACCCTCTGGTAAACTAACGTAACTATGGAAAATCACCATTTTTAATGGGTATATCCACTATAAATGGCCATTTTCAATAGCTATGTTAGTTTACCAAAGGGTAACATCCAATCATCCCCATATGCTCCATTGCTCCATGGTGCTGGAATATGAATCCCAACATTTGCCCCAACAAAATCACCCAGTTTTGTAGGTAAATATACCATACATGGAGCATATGGGATCCAATGGATAACAAATTACGATGTCTGCTGTCTGCGTAACATATCCAATTAGGACATGTTTAAGATACCGATGGATGATTTGTTATGATGTTCAACCATAGTAAAAGCACATGCCAATAATGTGCATATCTGCCAGAAACATGTCTTTACCATGTTCCCTACCTTTCCATTTTTTCACATACCCAAATGGTTTGCGATGTTCCCCAATATATTTGATAGTATGCACCCATATAACATCCTATAACAATCAACGAACAGGAGTGGTTAACACCGCTCAAATGGGTATGGGTCCAAAGTAAGTCAAGTAGATACCCCTAAATTGAATGCTTCATACAAATACAATACAAGTCAATACTTATACAAATTATGTGGGTAAAACAATAATAGACAATCCCCCAAATCATCATTTTTATAGGTAGTATAAACCTAAACCATTCCCAGTCATGGGTGGTTTATATGTTTATGGCATTGTTTTACCCACATTAGATGTTAACCCTAAACATATTAATCTAAAAATGCCACATAGCCCTCTTCGTCTTTCATGGATGCCTCCCGACATTTCTGGATGAACTGCTCTTCCAGCACCATGGCGCGCCTTGGCCTAGGACATTGCGTGTTGGGTTAGATTAGATGAACTAATTACCATCTGGTTATGACTAACATAGCCATGGAAAATCACCATTTTTAATAGGTAAACCATCATAAACCATCTATAAATGGGCCATTTTCCATGGCTATGTTAAATAACCAGATGGTAACTAAGTAGGATATTATGTTTCTATAGTTATCCGGGTTTATCAAGCAAAAACTAAAAAAACTGGAGAGCACCACCGACAGTAAGCCTCTAACGACCTTCTCAGCAAGTGTTCGTAGTGATTATAAGCCGGGTACAAATGTGAACTTAATTACTAGCCAGGGTCGTCAACAACATTTAATATGCATGCAAGGATAGAATCTATGGCATGTATGGCCGAACCAAGCTTCTTAGGGATTTTGCGCATGATCATAGGGGTTTATTGAATACTATATTATATAGTAACCCCGCACAAAACAAACAACACATGAAGAAAAAACTATACGTTCTCATTATTTTAGTAGGATTTTGTTCTTCATCATTGTTCTATCTTCTTTTGAGGTTTGCTATATATGCTATGTTATATATGTATATATACTGGTGGGAATTTCATCGGTAATTTAATGATGTGGTTTGTTTGATCCTGGGACTTAAAATAGTATCCCATTACTATGCCATTATGGTCAATACGGAATACTGTGCAGGGTATGGTCATTAATCAGTTATAACTAGTTATAACTGGCTATAAACGGGATTATACATTCTCCAAATGGGGTTTTGTATGGTTTTGTTAGTACTTATAACTGGTATTTCGGGCCACAACTGTGGGGAGAAACAGTACCACAAACCACCCATAAAAATGGGAATGGTAAACTACCACCTATCTAAATAGCTGGTGAAATTGGAGGTGATTAATTATTGTTTGGCCAACATTCCTTTTTTTACACCATAGAATGTGATGGTGCCAGGCAATCATAGGCATCAAATGGCACAAATCGCAGCTGCAGTAGAAGTTCTTTGAGATTCCGTCACGAGAGTTTCGGAAACAGCATTTGTTCATTCCATTGGAACCCAGATCATTTACCCTCTGGTAATTTAACTTAGCTATTGAAAATGGCCATTGATAGTGGATTTTCCCATTAAAAATGGTGATTTTCCATAGCTCTGTTAAACTACCAGAGGGTAAGATCATTTAAGTGGCTTGTCCCACAAAAACATCCCATTTCGCTCCGGGATTTTCCGGTAGCATTCGTTCCTAGTCAGAACCGCGTCACCTGAGCCGCACACCTGGAGCTCAGAACAGCGACCGTCGCGTACGTTACGGAGTCTAAGCCAACGAACAGCTGCGGTGTTGGGCGTTTGCATCCCAATCATCCCAAAAACGAACAGGACTCACCACTTTAGTATCTAACCCAGGATGACAATTTCCGTACTTCTGGCTGAATTAACCCCAAAGTATCTGAAACAAATTAGAAGTAATTTGGTTGATAAGTGTATTTCCGACATTGCAAATAGATGTGATTGAAATAGGCTACTCCCAAACTTGATGGTTGATTTTGATCTTCCTCATTAAAACTGATATTTGAGGTATCCTAATCATTTCAAACAAACCCAAATTGGAAAACACCAGTGTCTCTATATCATATATATATATTACAAGGTATATATATATATATATATATATAGTATTTCCAATTTGTAGATAATTTTCCTGGAAAAACAACGGGTGGTTCCATGGTTTTCCACAGTTTTTTGATGTTTACACCAGGTTGCCAGGTCTAGTCATTTAAAACCGGCCCGAATTTGCTTCACCCGTGGTTGATTCACTCAGTGTAAAGTGAGCCACATGGCCTGACATCTCGATGTTTAATCGTCAAACATTGCGACAAAACAGTGGAAATTCACTGTGAATCATGGTGAAACATGGGGATTTACTGCACATGGGGGTTGACATAGGTGAAACATTGGGATTTAACCATCAGCTATGGCTAAACATCTGACTCAAGCATTGGTTCTATGGCAAAACAAATGGGATTTAACACTTGAGTTTTCCCAAAATGGACAGAAATTGGGGTATCCATTTTGAAATAAAGCCATTATAAACACTATATATATAAAAATACTCCCAGTATTTTCGTTTATGATGTTTATGTTCCATGCTTGAAACCCATTCGAGCACGGCTCAACATCCAGTCGTCCCTTTAGATTAGGGTTAATTTTCAGAACGGGATTTCCTGCTCATGGCTCGTGATAAGCCCATATAATCCCCAGTGCATTAGGTAGTGTAATTCCGGAACGAATCACCAACCGACCCGGGCTTTGAACACTGCTCATTTGAGGCATTCAACAATACCTCTATCCCATCTTATGCTGCTATATAGTTGGTTGATACACAATCCCTTCTATGGGTTATCACAAATCCATATTATAATCCCAATACATTAGGTATAAGTACTATAACAACCCCCTATATATCTATACGAACCACAGTCACATATCAATCAATACACTGTACCCACCTCATATAATATACTCATACTCATTAATTATACCATATATATAAAATTATATATATATATACATATATATACATTTAGAGGTTCCCTAAAATAGGGCTACCCCTCAATCATCCATTTTAGATTGGGATTTTCCATGAAATCGACCATCCAGCAGCGCACCTCCTCGTGGCATTTCATCTTGGCGCGATCGTAGCTGGGCTGGTACTCAGCTAGGGCCTGGACGGTGAAACATACAGATCTAACATGATTTGACCATCAGACACTGGTGAGAAATGGTGATTTTACCATGAAAAACAGGGATTCAACATGGTTTGACCATTAAAATCCATTGAACATGAAAGATATTGAAAGATGCCGATTTAAGTACCAAACATTGGGATTTCACCATGAAATATGGTGATTTCACCATTGAGAAGTGAGAACAATTGTCATCAACCGAACAATTGTCATCAACCAAACACCCCAACAGCAGGACAACAAGCAAAGAAAGATCGACAATATTTACAATAAAATATACCTGTACTGCAGCACTGCAAATAAAGGAATAAAAAACAACAACAAACCAAAGGGAACAAAACAGCACACTTTAGAATAGGAAGGAACAAAACATAGACCAGCATCTGACTAGGATGGAACGTACTGTTTAAAAAAAAAACACTCTTTCCTGAAATTCAACCAACCTGCGACTCTACAGAAAAAGCTGCTGCGTTCTGGCATGCAAACAGACTCTTGCTGTTGACACAACACCAACAAGATCCATTGAATCAAAGCATGCCCTTCAATATGATTGGTTGGCCCTAACTCCCTAACTCTGTACATCTTCTGACCTCTCTTGACGGTATTGACATTTCTTGACCACCTGACATGTTCTTTTTGAAACGCAACATGCACACTTTGCACCATATTGCTGCGCGGAAGGAATTCGTCAGAGTTTGTCAAAGCCAGCCCAAACGAACGGAAATCCACATCTGCATTCTGGCATGCAAACAGACTCTTGCTGTTGACACAACACCAACAAGATCCATTGAATCAAAGCATGCCCTTCAATATGATTGGTTGGCCCTAACTCCCTAACTCTGTACATCTTCTGACCTCTCTTGACGGTATTGACATTTCTTGACCACCTGACATGTTCTTTTTGAAACGCAACATGCACACTTTGCACCATATTGCTGCGCGGAAGGAATTCGTCAGAGCTTGTCAAAGCCAGCCCAAACGAACGGAAATCCACATCTGCATTGTGGCATGCAAATAGATTCTTGCTGTTGACACAACACCAGCAAGATCCATTGAATCAAAGCATGCCCTTCAATATGATTGGTTGGCCCTAACTCCCTAACTCTGTACATTTTCTGACCTCTCTTGACGGTATTGACATTTCTTGACCACCTGACATGTTCTTTTTGAAACGCAACATGCACACTTTGCACCATATTGCTGCGCGGAAGGAATTCGTCAGAGCTTGTCAAAGCCAGCCCAAACGAACGGAAATCCACATCTGCATCCTGGCATGCAAATAGACTCTTGCTGTTGACACAACACCAACAAGATCCATTGAATCAAAGCATGCCCTTCAATATGATTGGTTGGCCCTAACTCCCTAACTCTGTACATTTTCTGACCTCTCTTGACGGTATTGACATTTCTTGACCACCTGACATGTTCTTTTTGAAACGCAACATGCACACTTTGCACCATATTGCTGCGCGGAAGGAATTCGTCAGAGCTTGTCAAAGCCAGCCCAAACGAACGGAAATCCACATCTGCATTGTGGCATGCAAATAGACTCTTGCTGTTGACACAACACCAACAAGATCCATTGAATCAAAGCATGCCCTTCAATATGATTGGTTCGCCCTAACTCCTTAACTCTGTCAACCTCACCTCAATATGTAACGCACACAGATTGTCCAAGCCGCGAGCACAGCTTAAGCCGACGTGGCGCAGCTAATGCCGACCCGTAGCATTGGCGGATTTTGTGGATCAAAACTGGCCCAACTCCACAAGGTGAATGTTAAACTGTCCCTTCGGTCCCGGTGATGTCCGGTGATGTGTGGTTTCCTCCCCGAAAACTGTGCACCATGTGTTGTTTCCATTACGAGAAAGGGATGAAAATTATCCGGGATCCACCATTTTTATCCATCTGTCAGCTTAGTTCTTCGTACATGTTTTTACCGATAGAAATAAATCTATACCCTCCTGTAAACTAACATAGATGTGGAGAACACATTATTCTGGTTGGTGGTATACCTACCCCTCTGAAAAATATGAGTTCGTCAGTCGTTCACCTTATTCCCAACCACCAACCAGATATTATATGGTTTATGGATGTTTTTGGTACTTATAACATCTTATAACCATAGTTACTGGGGCTTAATCCTAATACTACAAACTAGTTATTACGTTGTAGATCCTAATCAAACGTAATGATGGTGGTGGGAAATCCCGGAACTAAATGGTGGATTTGTTTCAGCCTAAGCCACCAAATGACATAGGAGGCTAATCCCATATACTCCAAGTACATCCAAGTTGAGTACAGGATGGGGCCCCCAAGATAGCTAAGTTCAGGTAGAAGTGGCTGAATTCTATGCTTGCCTATGGTTTATGGTAGATATTAATTACTATAGATATAGAAAACTAAACTTCATGGGGGTTATAAACGAACAAACATCACTAGTGGGCCCCATTCTGCATGGTTTCCAGCCTCTCGCGCCATGATCTCAAAGAACTTCTGGTTGAGATCCGTGGCATCGGGACCATCAAAGGTCTCAGCCGAGCGCTGGTGATCTCGTTGTGTTTTTTTAGTTTGAAAACATGGTTGTAATTACTCCAATATCCATCAACATATCCATCAATTGGTGTATATATACAAATATTATAAGTGGGGGTTAATTGCTGGTTGGTGGTATACCTACCCCTCTGCAAAATGTGATTTCGTCAGTTGGGATGATGACATTCCCAACTGAATGGAAGGTCATAAAATTCATGTTCCGAACCAACCAGTGGTTCTAATTACTCCAAATATCTCCAAAGACATAAACTTCCGGATTGGTCTCCTTTTTTTTGGGGTTCCGCCAAAGCAGTTCTTGGAAACCCTCAAAACGTTGTCAATCTGGTGTCATCTTCTCAAGTGGGGACAGAGAGTGAAACTGTTGATTTGAAGCCACCAGCAAGAAAAATGAAACAGAATCATCAATTCTTATGTCAATCGCTAGAATTGCTGCTTAACAACTATATATTTACTGGTTGGATTCACTGTTGTTTTTTTTGTGGTGAAATTCCGATGTATACAGTAAAAAGTCAACATCAGTAGTCGATCTTCTTGCCAATGGCTTGGTTCAAGGCAACATGTACAGTTGAAACCATTTTTTAACACTTGTCATTGCCCTAACCCCAAAAAAAATACTTGGGGGTTAATTGTAAACGATCTCTTTCAGCCATTTCTGTGAGCTTACGGTATCCCATTCCATCATATTCCCCATCATTTCCAGACACATCCATGATTCATTGGATATTCATTGTTTCAACATGTTTTTTTTCACTCACCATGTTTCATGATTCAATAAATTTCATCCCATTTGTTCATACATATTTTCAATATACAATACAATGATGGTCAAATCATGTTAAATCATCTTAAATCAAGGTTCAATCATGTTACAGTAAATCATGGTTAAATCACCTGATTTCCCTATGTTTTTGCTGATTTCCTTTTTGAAGTGTGGTGTCCCAGGTGCCATGCCATCCGCAGGACACTTCCGCGCCACCAATTCTTCGGCATGCTGCGGGCTTGGGGCCTTGGGATTCGCCATCAAATCTCATGAATT